TCCCGCACATTGCTTTGAGCAAGTGCGGGAGCGAGAGGGCAATCTTGTATGCCTCTGAATCCGAAAACAATTAGGAGAAGTGAATACTTTTCAATACGAAAGTCTGCATTTGAAAATTATCGATTGCGATTGAATACAAGGCATATTTGAAATTAATTGAATCCTTTTTAATGCGAAGCATTCACCACTGACATCTCGCATTTAGCGCGGTGAAATTTAATGAGAACTAATACTTTTTAGTTCCTTTCTTCGGATCAGAAAGCAGAATTCAGATGTCAATATTCAAAATGTCAATACTTTTTAATATATTTCAGTTCGACATTTTATACAGGGAGATTATCCGCTGCGGACAATAACTCTTCTACTTTTCATCTAATATTCAATGATGATAAATAACATTTAATTGCATTCATTTGGCTTCTTTATTTCGAAAATAAAAAAATATATACCAGAGTGAGATTTCACCCATGACAACATCAACGTGATTTTCTTTGATGTTTTTTTTTAAAGTTTAAATATTTCGTCGACTCGCGAGATATTTATAATCGGAGTCTCGTCGCGTTAATTAACACGTGCTCCTCCGAGCGGATCGAATGCTCACCGACGGCCACTGTCAGTGCCACGAGCGAATATCCGGACGGGATGCTGAATTTAGAAGCAGGACGAAGGGAGCGGGACGCGGGCATCATGCGATACATCATGCGTCTCCAGACATGTCAAATCGTTTATTATAGAGGAAACTTTGATACGGCAACATGTATTCGAAGATTTAACATTTAATACGTTTTATTTTTTCTGCTCTCGCCCTCCCTCCCGCCGTTCTTTTTAGACTTCCGGGCATAGTCTGGTATAGAGATGGCAAGAGATGGTGGTTGCAGCACGGACATAAACCTCCTGAAAATGGATGTAGCACGAACTTCCACCACATGCAGATTTTACCACCGAGACCTGAAAGTGGATGTAGCATCGTAGTTCCTCTCTCAAAATGGATGCAGATGGCGTCCTTTCCCAGTGCGGAAAGTCGATGTCGCAGAAAATGTGTTGGCCGCTCTCAGGTTTCTCTCTGCTATATGGCTACGTTCTGATATTCACTGTCAGCACTGAAATTGTATAGTATACGTGACATAACCTATGTATTTTCAGTACTGGCAGTGAATTTCGGAATGCAGCCTCCATAACCATGGACTACCAGCTTATTTCTTTTTGCAGTAAAACATCTACGAACGACGCCTCCAGTATCTAATAACGGCCACTATCTCAACTATTATCGGATTTTTCATTCTGTTTTATCCATTAGAAAGACATCACCACCGACGAGATTATCATCGCTTTTCAACTACCTCCAAGTCCCTTGGGTCCCGCATAGAAGCGCTGCTTCGTATTCTTGTTAAGGCTCGTCTACATTAGCTGTAAGAGTAAGGCTGTAAGGTTGCAAAACACGAAATGAAATATTTTCATTCGCTGACAGCTTACGTTACAGCCTTACAGCCTTACTCTTACAGCTATTGTAGACGAGCCTTTATATGAAGCCACTAAAGTCAATTCGCGATTTGATCCTGGCTGCGTTCAGATATTCACTGCCAGTACTGAAAATACATAGTTTGTATCACGTATACTATAGATTATCAGTGCTGGTAGTGAATATCGGAACGCAGCCTTTTAAGATCATTCTACAATACGTGTCATAAGTTATAAGCCGTAAGAATTGGCGAATCACAGTCGATTATTACAAAAATAATCGGCTATAATTGGTCAATTCTTATGGCTTACAACTTACGACACGTATTGTAGAATGACCTTTAGTCTGTTCTTTTTAGCTGCACTACTAAACTGGTGCAATAAGTTGAAGTGAGAAAAAATATCATTGTCTCACTTATTGCACTAGTTCCACAGTGCAGCTAAAAAGAACAGACCAATAGTAATCTCGATCACATGATCTACAGCCAAGGGGTTGACGTCAGCCTGGGGTTTTCCAGCGCACAGCCATTTATTGAATGAATGTGATGATCTACAGCCATTTTAAGGATAAAATCGGCGTTTAAATTAAAATAGTTTATATACAAGGTGTTTATTTGAAAACTTTCCAGCTAATTATCTCGAAAACTATGAAAAATATTAAAAAAAGCTAAAACACGCGTTCTACAATTTCGAAAGGGAAAGAGAATGGCATTATCAGTTTTTTATTTGAAGGGCATTTTCAAGGTTGAAGGTCAACTTAATTTTTTTAAATAGAAAGCCCAATTTTTTATTATATCTTTTTCTACCAATTAATTTTAACAACTTTTATCTGAAACATTTTTTTGCCTAATATTTTTTTAAAATATTTAAGGAAAACTTGGTAACTTTTTCAACATTTGACTTAAGATATCTCGCTAACTATTTGTCGAAAGAAAAAATAATATTAGACTGTTTTACTTTATTTACTATCAAGAATATATTACTATAATAGTGCCTACTATAGTATAATAGTACATACTATAATTTTGTTAACTTATCGACCTTTGGAAATTTCAAAATTATTAAATTCAACTGACCTTGAAAATGCCCTCCAAGTAAAAAACTGATAATGCCATTCTCTTTTCCCTTCAAAATCATAGAACACGTGATTTAGCTTCTTTTAATATCTTTCATAGTTTTATTAGCTATTTATGCTAATAAGCTATTTATAATAGCTTATTAGATAATTAGCTGGAAAGTTTTCAAATGAACACCCTGTATAGAGGATTTCTTGCTTGATTACATGTATATACATACCACTTAAATAGCAGAAGCATTTCAGTATAATCCTGAACACGTTCAAAATGCTTGCAGAGTGTCCTAGGACATCCTAAAAATATTCAAAATGACCAAAGGATATATTTTGCTATATGGGTATATATACAATGAGAAATACTATAAGTGGCAAAAGATTTGTAAATATTCAAATATATTTATTTCACTTTCGTAGTTTCTAATGGGATTAACTCAATTGGCTTATTTTTCCTACTATATATAGATTGAGTGATGAAATAGAATATTTGCTATATGATAGTAGATGCAGCAATCATAATAGTGGTAATAGCAGCAACAATAATATAACAATGATATTATTTATAATTATATTTACCATTAACATATTTTGATAGAATTATACATATTATTAATTATAATCGTCGTGATCACAAATGATTATCTTCATTCATATATACACGTGCATACATATATATGCGTAGACCCATGAAAATACATTTGACGCTGTGTTTTACCGCCGTATATATAGAGTATCCAAAAAATTATGCATCTTGTTCCTGTTAATTTTTTGACAATGATAGTTTTTCCAGATTAAAAAAAATTTATTCCTTGGATGCGATCTTTTATACATATTACATCGTATTACCTCACACAATATAAATATTTGTGTAAGTATATCTCAAATTAAAGTGCTTTTAGAGTTTACTTGCTTGCATTTTTAAGACTATTAATTTACTCAGAAATTTATATATTGTTCAATTAATATATATATATCCGAAAGCTATTGTTATTCTTAGGCATCTATTATTTATACTCTCGAAAAGGTAGTCTTAAAAAAGAAAAAAAAAACAAGTTTTGGAATGCTCTATATATTTATGTCATGCGTTAAACTTTTACTGCATGAAAATGTTATATACACTGGATGTTTAAAAAATGGCGGGCAATTGAGTTTATCTTTTCCTTATTTTATTAATTTAAATCAAAGCTTAAATGAATTTTGTAAACATCTTGTAAAATGCATCAAGTCGATTAGATTGCAAAAGATCGTGTGAAAACTAATTTTTCGTGTAAAATGTTATTACTAGTATCTAAAAAATTATACCGCCGATGGATTTATTCCTTAATTGGAAATGGGAGAGGATTGCATATGTAATAGTAGCCAGCAAAATCGAAGTTCCGTTAATCTAGTTACAATATAGTCAGAAATCTAAAGTTGTAAATTCGACTATTATGGGTACCGCGATGCATAATACTATTACATGTCTCATTATAATTGTTTACTTTACCTTTTTTTAGGAAATAAAATTTAAAAGCTTTCAAGGCATCTCTGTTAATGGGTGCACTTATTTTTACTACAAAAAATTTTTTTTGATACAGCATTATGTAAACATTCTTGTGTATGCATAAACATGTATATAAAAAAGCTCGCTTTCATCAAAATAAATATCATACGCTATTAGGACTAATTACTGCTCTATAATAAGAACTATAATATAATTAAGATATTATAAGCGCATACTTACTGATATGGCTATCAGGATATAAAGATTCATTTTTATAACGTTAAATTGTCCTAAATGGATTATACACCGTCTTATTTACAAAATATAATCTGCATAAAATTGTTCGATAGATCATACAATTGACAATTAATTCATCGCATTTGAATCTTATTCATCTTATACATATTAAAAAGAATCTTAAAAATCAATGCATCGCGGTACAAGAAAGATCTCAACTCAGAAGAGAAATTTAGGACTTTATATATATATATATATATATATATATATATATATATATATATATATATAGACAAGCTCAAGAATTATACAAATACCTATCAAAAAAATGTTATAATTAACTAAACAATGAAAAATGTTTCTAAGTCACATTTTCAACGAATTTCTTTCTTTTCAAGATTGGGCTGGCCATATGAACAATATCACATATTAACCGAAGATACTAAACAGAAAAAGGGTTTCAAAAATTTACGCCATACATCCGTGTTCTAAATTTTGAATTAATTAAAATAGTTTATGTAAGATATACTACAAAGTATCTTAATAACTTTATTATATTTTTACCTTATTTTTGTTCTATTTTATAAGAACCATTTACACAGAGCAAATATTCGGTTCTGTCTAAGAGAATAAGCTGTGTGCTAGAGCTCATCTGTAAATGCAATACTTAACAAATTATGAGCAAATTCTTTTATTATAATTTACTAACTGTATCGCGCTAACCGTGTTCCCAGCCCATATATCATTCTGTCTAGTGCAATAAATAGCCACTATCATTTAAAAATCTCGATATATCGTTTCGTTGAAAAATTTGCTAATCATCAAGAACCTAAATAAAAATGATAATTTATATGCTTTGCTAATAAGAGAGCATTATACTACCTAAAAATGAAATGTAAATCTCCAATCTACAGAATAACATAGAGGTAGGAATCCATGTGTGACAAGTTAAATCCAACGAGAGTGTACTGATTTAGAATTGTGATATTTAGTCAGGAAGTCGGATAAATATACCTTACCCCCACATGTTTATAAAAACAATTATATATCAATAGTTTTGTACACATTCCTTTATGTATGATTTACTTTGTTATGTTTACCATACGCTAATGACCGTTTTAACAGAACTATTTTGAGAATATTGAGATATCTTGTGGACATAAGATTGTATGATACATTAAGATAAAGAAATATATTCTTGTGACTTCCTGCACACACAAAGCTCATCGCAATATATTCTCCACGTCCTTCATGCGCAGGCACACGAATGTACAATCTGACCTGTGCATCTTTATAGTCAACCAAGATTACCACTACTCCAAGACCTAGCAAGCACATGAATCACCTTTGCCATTGCTTCTTTGGTCATTAGTCAATTTGATTTGATCCGGGAATTCATTGTAAAGTTCAACCTGGGATTTATAAAATGTAAAGATGATACCAAAATATAGTTGAAAAATATTCCTTCACTATACACTTAACACACTTACTTCACTTTCTTGAGCTAAAGCATTTTTAGCTATCGTTTGGAAAGCTTGCTCAACATTAATAGCTTCTTTTGCACTAGTTTCAAAGTATGGAATATTGTTCTTTGACTGACACCATTGCTGTGCTCTCTTGCTTGATACCTATAATACAAGATATGGAAAAAATATATAAAATGATGGAAGACTCAATAAAAATTACAGCTTAAGCAAAAGTTCATTCTTTTAAGTCTCACATATGACTTATCTATTCTTGTAGTTTAGTTTAAATTGACCTTTTCTAATGTATATATTCTAAGACTCTACTATATATATAATTTTTTTTTGCTATACTATGATAACCGTACTCACTGCTCTTGACTCAAGATCTACTTTATTTCCGAGAACAACAAATGGAAAATTATCTGGATCCCGAGGTGAAGCTTGAATCAAAAATTCATCTCTCCATGAATCAAGAGATTTAAAGCTAGTTGGAGCAGACACATCAAATACTAGCACACAGCAGTCTGCACCTCGATAAAATGCCACTCCTAATGATTGAAACCTTTCTTGTCCGGCAGTATCCCAAATCTAAGACAGAGAAAATTCTGCCAGAAACATCATATGGACAAAGCACTAGAAGGTTATTATATCAGATTGAACTATACCTGCATGGTAACTATTCTATCTTCCACCATCACTTCTTTAGTCAAAAAATCTGCCCCTATCGTAGCTTTATATTGGTTACTAAATTTCTTATTGACATATTGATTCATCAAAGAAGTTTTTCCAACTCCTGAATCCCCAAGAATAATAACTTTCAACAAGACTTTCTTGCGGGATGCCATTTCTTTTGCTAGAAAAATATAAACAATATTGCACAAGAAAAGATTACATACAAACATTAATTTTTAAAATTTTCAGCCTCAAGATTTTTATCAATAATATAAATCTCAGTAAATCAGTAAAAGAAAAAATATTTGTGTAATATATTGTACAAATTCTTATTCTGGGATTTATAATCTATGTAATAAAATATATAATCTATATATATATAATATATATATATATATATATGTTATTTTTATAAAATTATATAATAAATATTTCAAAAGCTATAATTTTCTTATATCTCTTTTTCTGTAGCAAATTTGTAGAGAAGATTTCCTAATAAAAATCTTCTTCTGATAAAATATTTTTTCTTTGTAAAAATCTAATCAGATATGCTATATGTCTTATTTACCACTTTTAAATCTTCTTTTAAGTAATAACAAAATTAGAATTTAGTCAAGGTTTAATATTGATTAAAAAAATAATATTTTATTGGGCTACATATTCCTGATAATTATATTTATAATTATACCTTGTAATTTAATGTTTTATAACTAATTATATCACCATGATATTTAACATAGATGTCAAAAGTTGTTAAATATTTTATTGCTTTGATATTAAAAAAGTCAGTATTTTTTAAAATTTGCTTACTATTGGATATAATATAAATCTAGTTTACTAGTTTTCTAACATATTATATAATATTGATATCAATAATATAAATATCACTGTATAGATATGAGTTGTATAATAAAAATAAATTGTTTTCAATTGCAAAAAATAAGAAATAATTCTATGACTACGAGAAGTAAGCATATTTTTTGCATTATAAATATAGAAAAAATGAACCTTAAAGGACAAATTTAATCAGTATCTTATATATATTCATATATTATGTACACAAAAACAAGATGTATTCCTAATTAATATCATTTAAGTTGTCTTACTATTTTGAAGTAGTGATGGATCACATGAGTCATCTAACAGAATTGACAAGAAAAGTATCTGACTGGACAACAATGACGTACATGTCTTAACAATGCATATGACGTGTTAAAAAAATAAATAAATAAATGAAAGACTTTCTTTCAGAGACTGTTTAGATGTGAGTTTTGGCGGTTATTGCTAAGCGACATTGCTGGAAATTAGTGGAGTTCGTGAATATTCTGCAACACGACGCGTATAACGAGAAAACGCAAGATAGCACGAAGATACGTCACAACGGAATAGAATCCGTTCAACTGCGCGATGTTCATGAAACCTGTCACACGCGAGCAAAATCGTAATTCAACTCGCTACTCACACGATGGCTGCGTAATAAAATGCGCGATATATAAAGACGAGCAATGAGCGTCGTTCAATGCACAATCAAAATGTTAAACATTGTGTACGTTACCTGGACTCGATACAAAATACGACACGAAAATCCTCCTCTCCAGCACTTTACACAAAGAAAATGGCGTGTTATGAAATCACGAGTATGACAACGATGTCGTCACCTGTTCTTTGCCTTCGTTATCGACTACGTGCAATCGAGCATTACTAGATTATCGAATAATGCGAGTGCGTTCACTATACTCTATGAAAATCGATATAAATGTATCGATACTCCTAACATTCAAGGCGAGTCTGGAAATGTTTTTATAACAATATCTAGATATTTCATCTAAGATTGCTTATTAAACTTTAATTAATCTAATTGATGATTTACACATTGCTATCAATCAAATTTTGCTTTAATAGAGTAGAAGTAACTTCACTTTTCGGCTACTATTGAACGAAAAATTACACACGTTTTGTAATTGACGTTGGTATGCGGCGGTTATTCATCCATTAATTTAATTGAAGTTTGCAGAAAAACATTTTGACTCGTATTTTTAATATAACTTTGTATTTAAAATCATCTTGAGTTTATCTCCATTTGCTATAAGAGCCATTTCATTGGTTGCATTTTATCAGTAGGTGAACTTGAATATAAGATTGGACTATGAATACAGGCTTTAGAACCGGAAAAGTAACCAACATAAAAATATAACAAATAGGGACATTCGTATTATATCCTGGATAAGTCACAGAATATGCGATTTAATAAGATTGCCCACTATTAGTATTATTTTGAAGATGTATTTCAGTTAATATTATCAGTAATTGTCAGATTCTGAGTTGCCGGTAGGTTATACGAATTTCTTATTTTTGACAGTGAATTATAACTGAACTCCAAAACAATAAATTTTCAGTCACTGCTGGATCCCACCACAAATTTAAATAAATTTTTTTTAATTTCAAACATTATGTATACATATTTATATGTATACATATATATATTTTTTTTGTATAAGCGGAAATGAAAACTTTTTTGCTTTGAAATTTTATATAAAAATTCATAATTAATGTTTTAAATATTATATTATAAATATTGTAAACAAAAAGTCAGACGAATAAGTTAAATTATTTTTATTCGTTCACAAAAATTTATTATAATATAAAAATTTTTATATTAAACAATGATAAGTGAATTAAGGTTTTTGAAGAATTACTTAAATATGAAATGAAGGGAGATGCATATCGAATTTGCATATATGCGGTCGGTGTGTATACAAGTACAATATGTTAAGATATATCAGTTATTTATTTATTGAAATTCAATATTTTTGTCATTATGGGTATCATTCAAACACTATTCAACAAACGCGACAATCTTTTCATAACCTACGCCAACCTAAAATCTCTACCGTGCGTACCTTGTTATGAAGAAGTGGATAGGAAGCCGGGAAATCCTGATAGCTTTGAAAATCTACATGCAAAAACGAAGCAGCTGTATCCACGAAACTTCGAAGGAGCTTACCTGTTGCTGAAAAAATCTTTGAGTCAACATTTCAATGTTACTTACAAGTAGATATGGATGTTTGAATTTCTATCTCGAAAATTTGTAAACGTTTCGTCGTCGTATAAAAATTTTAATTATTATTTGAAATCGGAAATTTCTACAAACATAGATAAAAATTTTGGAAAATCTATATCCATTGGAGGTTTTGATAGTCGAAAATTTTACAATATTTACGTATCGACAGTAGATGAATAGTAACTTATATATTTAAGCGAACATAAGAAAAATATTAATGTATGTAGATTACCATTGCAACAATAATTGATTTCCAAGGTTTCCAAAACTTTTGGGTGTTAGTTTTAAATATTCGAAAAGACTCGTAACCTTAATCATATGTAATCCAATGTAACCCAAGTGATTGATTATATATTAATCATATACTATTTACAGAATCATTACTATTTACAGGATGACGCTGAGCTCCGTGACACCACACGGTCTCATGTTCGGTGTGAATTACCTTGGTACTAAACGTGTCGGATTATCAGAAAGATACCCAGTTATTTCGGGTGAAGTTACGCCTGGTGGAAATATGAGCGCTAAGTTTGTGCACACACTCGGATGCAGATACAGATTCAAATTGTCGACGCAAATTAGCAACAAGTAGCGATAAGCATTCAAATGCCTGTCTTAAAACTTTTCGAACTAATCAATCATATGTGTATAAATCAGAGTTGTTTCAAATATTATTATATAAAACCGAAAGTTCTTAAAATTTTGAAGAATTCTGAAAAATCTGAACGTCTTGAAAGTTAACAAATCTTAAATATTATGTACGAACAGATGTGTATATAATCAAATTATGTCGAGACGTTACGAATACATAGACTGGTGTAAATTACATTGCGACATAATTCACTTGAAAGATATAGAAACATTAACTCAATATTAACAAGGTGTTCATGATATTTGAGATTTTCACAGCGCTCAGAACCTTCAAAGTTTTCATAAAACTTCGCATTTCAAATCAAATTTGAGATGACTCGTCGCATATTCAAAGTGTCGATTCCATGTGTCTTGAAATTTTATTACTATCGACAGGAAGTACAAAGCCTTCAGTACTGGTCTGGAGTATCGTTCCGACGACTGCACAGTAGCGATGACTTTAGCAAATCCCGACTTTTTCCGTGGGCACGGTACGATAGTGTTGCATTATCTGCAAGCCATCACGCCGAGGACAACTCTTGGCACGGAGATCGCGTATTTGCGCGGTTCTCGAATAGCCGGAGGTCGGCAGACGATGATGTGCGCAGCGTTCCGACATAGCACCGGTCCCACCACATTGTCCGCTACGATAGGTGAGGCTGGCATCCACGTCTGCTATCATCGGCAAGCGAGCAAGCAGCTACAACTCGGGGTCGAGATTGAGACCAACACGCGAATTCACGAATCGATCGGCACGATAGCGTATCGAGTTGATATTCCGTACGCGGACTTTGTTTTCCGCGGATTCGTCAATTCGGAGACTACTGTGGGAGCGGTGTTCGAGAAGAAGCTGTATCCCATTCCTGAGGCTTTATTAGTTATAAGTGGCCTTTTAAATCACAGGAAGCATCAGTTTCGCGTTGGTATTGGCCTGAACATCGGCTAACAAAGCTCTTTGAGTAATAAAAGGAATACAATATTATATACTTTGAATTTTAAGCACTTTTCGAAATATTGCTGCTCTGTATAAGATTTCCAGAGGTATTTTTCTGCTGATACCATTTAAGCCAAGCGCATCTCCACTGATTTTGAATTATATATATTTTGACATAGACGGACTATCTCGTGATATATTCACTTCATTGATCTTTACAAGAACTCCAGAGAGTCGATCAGGATCCCTTCCTCTAGCGTGAACTTATAAAAAGTGAAAATTTTCAAATTTGGAAGTATTAAAAAATGTTTATTTTTCTTGAATTCATACTAGAGGAAGTTTCATGATCGTTTCTCTAAGTTCTTTACTGCGGCAGTTTCAAAATACGACGTCAGAGGCAACAAAACACACACTCCAAATTTTTCAAAAGTACATTGAAATGAAGACATATCCATAAGGTGGCATTTGCGATGGACTTGTAAAGTATTCTGAAGATTTTGCTTGTATTCTAATAATTAAAATATAAACAGCCCTAATATAACATGATATTTTAGCTATATGTAGTTTTATCTTTCGCTAAAAATCCGACATGGAGTTTTAGCGAAGAAGAGAGGCACGAAAAGCCTTTCAATGCTTGGTTTTTTTGGCTTTTTTTATTTTATGTATTCACAAACGTTACAACTGCCGGCTAAGCGTACAAGACTCGCAATCCACACATATTGTTACCACATTATACAAGGAACATCATCGCTTATCCGCGGGGACCGATGATGTCTCTCCCCCTCCCTTCCCTCAAGGTGCCGATCAACGTCTTATTACAAGACATCTCTTTCTCTTCTTAGTCGCGATGTTTCGTAAGCCGACACTCGTCTGCAGTTTATCATATATTATGCGTGTGTGTAAGTGTACATGTGTATACCTATATATACACATATATATATATACATATACATATATATATATATATGTATATGTAATAGTATATATTTATGTATATCTTTTCTCGTATTTACAAGGGCCAAGACGCATCGCGCACACAGTTACATACGCCCACTTTAGTTTTATGCAGAGATCTTCACAGAGACAAGAATATTCGTAAGAAACGCCCTACTACCAGCCTCTACACATCTGGCTTCGTAGTATCAGAACTTGAAAAAATACGCGGTATATCATCTTCAACGAAAGGCTTGGACAGAGGTGGGTGATTATCCATCGGTTTCACCTTTAACTCTCTCTCTCTCTCTCTCCCTCCCTCCTTCCCTCTCATTTCACACGTGTTCAATCTACAATACATACATAGTTTAGCGCAGCTCCTACGAATAATCGTTTATCGTTTGCTTCTCTAGCGGTCTCTAATCGTACGTAAGAACCTTTCTAATGTATGAGAATCTAGGAAAGTTTAAACTTTTCTGGATTCGTGTTCGCTGGGAAAGCTCCTCTCCTCTTCGTTTGTTCCGAAGACACGCTAGATGATGCGCATTTTTTCTTCTTCCCTTGTTTATCTTTCTCTCTTTTTGTCTTTTAGTAACCGGTCCGGCGGAAGTAGGTTGTTCTCCTCGAAGGCACTATTGTACGCGAAAACAAATATTCGTCCTCCCGAAAGAAGTATATCGCGTTTTCGAGCTAGTTCCCGATCTATTGTGTCTGTAAAAGTATCCATTCTCCTCAAGATGAGATGGTCTCCGAAGCTCCCAAATCAGACGAGTTGTTATGAATCACGATTATGCGAAATTATTTCGTATATACGGGTAAGTTCGAGTTGCTTCAACCAATCGTTAACACTCTGACTGCACGTCATACTACTACTTGAATCTTTCGCAGATTTCGTAGAGTTAAGGGTAACGGTTTTACTTAAATGACAATGCTTATTTATTAAATATTTAGAATTACATATTATTTAATATTTATAAGGACATTAAATGGAAGCAATAAAAGATCATTAATATAATATGTTAAAAATATCCAAAACAAATTTCCTGAAGATTACATTTATATATTGTAGAAGTAATGTAACAATTTTTATATTTTTGTCAGATACTTTCGAGTGAAAAAATATCGGTCTCATCGTTTATATTGAAGGACTGATTAAGATTAAAGATCAGATAAAAAACCAAAGATTGAAAACATATTGAATAATCACATTTCCATTGCAAACGTCTTGTGTGTTTCTCAAGCAGTCTGATTCTATATATTTTATGCGGGATCGCATGAGGTGATTTGAGAGGATTTGGACTTGGTATAATTCAAATTCAGTGCATCAGTCAAAGTGTTAATGGGAAAATTTTCGGTATTTCGCAAGATAAGATAAAACCATCGACGAATGGGAAGACGTTTGGACTTCGACATTCCGTCACAGAAATTCATCATTCCTGAAGAAAATCGTCGAGATCATTCGGCTATCAATTGTCTTATTTTATCTTGTTCTTTTACCCGAGAACAAATACCGTCGGAGGTTCTCCTCCGACAAATCACGGTGAGCGATTTATATATGATACAACTTGAAGATATGTCAAAACAAAACAAAACAGATTTTCGGTAGAGCGAAAAACGGTGGTGTGCAAATCGACTTTACCGTGCACGCGCGCGAAGATCGTAGCACCACTAAATGAGACAATAAGAAATAATACGTCAGCAATAACGTATTCACATATCACGGATCAAACGTATTATATGAGCAATATAAGTAACATGTGTATTAACTCGTATCGTGAGATCGAATCGCGATTGGCGATTTCACGACCGCGTAGCTTGTGGATCTCTTCGTTAACAAATTTTACACATGCTTTCGCTGCCGAGGACGCCTCTTAACACATTATGCATTCTCGCGATGTTCAAGGAGGGACCAACAACAATTAACTCACACGAATTTTCCCGGATTAACACATCAGCTTTATGATCGAAATTCTTTCATCATATAGAAGTGAAATTCTTCGAAATCTTTTGTTTATTGCACACTGATGTCTTTGAGTGAAACCCAAGTTGGTTAACAAGGTTGCTGTAATTCGTTGACGAAAGTCCAAGTTAAACCTACCTACCTATATGTGTGTCCCTACGAGCATATGGAGCTTACGAAAAAAAGGCACAATGTGCGCTGGAGATTTAGCGATTCCGAATGGAATTTCGAGGCCTGAGAGAATGCAAGTAGCAATGTATGAAAATGTCAATATATGAAACGGTCCCTCCTTAAAACACCATACATGTCTTCACATCGCTACATAATCCATTACTTTTCGTGCAATCTCTCTCTCTCTCTCTCTCTCTCTCTCTCTCTCTCTCTCTCTCTCTCTCTCTCTCTGACCCTCTTTCACTCTCTCCCTCTCTCTATAGCATTATATAATCTATATACGAAATATTTTTTTATACATTTTCTCGAAGTTGTATCAGAGTAATCAGTAATCCCATTCCGCTTTTTCTTTCCTTAATAGCATAAGCCTTAAGTGTAAAATTAAGATTTATTAGCAATGTATAAGTAACAATGTAAGAATTTATGGTATATACATACATATACATGTATTATACATATATTATATATACATACATATATATGTATATATATGCGTATATATAATCTGCTTTTTTTTTTACATTTGGACGTCGATCTCGTGGCGTGGCTCACCGACTTTGGGTAAAAATTATATACATTATTATACTACATTTCTTCGGCCGCCTCTTTCGGAAAAAAAATAACGCACACATATCATCTAGCATAGTACAAGATATTCTGAAATTATCTTGAATATGTTCAGGATATGTTCTGGAACACTCTTCAGACATTGTGAACATGTACAGGATGATTCTGAAATGTCTTGTGCTAATCGGATAGTGGAACAGTACGATTCTTCTACAGTGAAGAATTCAACACCGTCGGTGTTGGTTTTCCCCTTCTTTCCTCTCACCCTTTTACTTATTATATATAGTTCTCCTACATGAACATTTCTCTCTCAGAAAACACGTCTGCTCGGCTATGCTTTCCACATATTCAACGATTTTTCGCGGCACGCCACGAGGAACAAGCCCGTCTGGATATCATAAGCCTGATGCGTCTAAATTACAAACCAATTTAAACTTACAGTACTAATCCTTATAGCTAAACTGACGTTATTCCGTTATTATGATCGGCACCGATAAAGTATGATCTGTCACTCACTTAAAAATTACTCTGATAAGTCTATAGGCGTACCGCTGACTAATCTAGACCGAACTACGAAAGTATGTACAATAATCAATATGTGAGCAGGTTTTTACGATCATTCCACCGCGGTCTTCCATTTGTCTGACATCTGTACAATAGCTATTACTATCGCGACTGACTGAAAATCGATCAATAATTATTTGTGCTAATACAACTGTTTTCTCTTATTCTTCTTCTCTTCGTCCGTTCGACTCAATTGTTTTGGTCTCGATTCTTGCCGATTCTTTGTCTCGAGAACGTTTCGATCTTCTTTCTTTCCTTTTCTGGCTTTCATTCCAATGGTTCGGTAAACAGAAGACATTCTTATTATCGCTTCTCAACAACGCGACAAATATTTACGCGGTCTCTTCGCTGTGCACGCTGTATTCACACACATCATTGTATGCTAACTTAAACGAAAGAAGATAACTTTCTTTTTTTCTTGATTATGCAAAAATACGCATCAGTAATTGCCTTTTGCTCACGAATTGAGCAACGGTTCGCGATACGATGATGACGATGATGGTGATATAATGTTTGTGATATAATGACATAATGACGACGTTAGGCTCATATTTTTTAATCGTTCTCGAGCGGACGCAGACTCTCGATTGTCGTTTCGTTTAAGAATCATAATCAGTTGTCGCTATAGCTCCAAAAACTGTATTCTTACAGAAACGTCGACGGGCGCGTTCTTTCCTAAATTTAGATCAAGCGTTATCCCATCAAGAGCAAGGAATAAATTATCTGTCGTCAAAAAGCCGACTAGGTGGAGGCGAGTTTCGCCTTGCAAGTCAACAAGAGCATATAAAATGATTCATGCTCGCAACAGATAATTTAACATAACAATTAGTCTCTTCACTGCGTTCGAACGTCGTCAGCGAGAATTCTAACGACGATACGCGGAATATAACTTTGCGTATCAATGATACTATTAAATCTCTTCTTCTAATTTCTGATTCGAGCGACTCCGCTTTGCATTTCGCCTTGTCTTACAACGACATGAGAAAAAAATAGTATCGTAGTAACAGCGGGAAGATAGAGAAAGAAAGGTCTCTGGAGAAAAATCCGAGAAATTTTGGATAATGCGGAAGTAAAACATATAGCCGTGTCCGCATCTTATCGCGCGTTTCAGATTACAGTTAAAATTTATTCTCCCTCGTTCACGCCCTGTTTACGAAAACAGCGTTAATGTCGTTATTTTATGCTTGAGAGCGCAGCTCTCAAGCATAAAATATATCGAGATAAACGTGTGCACCGTTTGGACAAATAAATATTTGATATCGCGACCACACATATAGTATCGGATAAGCTTAAAAACGTTTTGATAAATTTCGTGATTCGAAAAATAGATTAAATAATCTTACTAAAAACGATTTATTCATTCCACCCAGTGATTTATTAGATGTGATAAAAAACAATGGTAATTAGTTGACATGAGTGATTATCATTTCTTCTAACAATGATTTTATAAAATCGTCAAATTATCTTCAATAAAATCATTTCATTAATTTTTCTATCACGAAATCCATTGAAGCTTTTGCACTCACTCAATATATTACACACATAAACGAGTGTCACCGTATCTGTAATACATTAACTGTAACGCGCAGATGAAACAGTCGTTACGGCTGTTTGTTACTCTTACTGCCAATTGTTCTATCTTCACCCCTATTTCTACGTTTACATTCTGTCGATGTGATAAGTAAATGAAGCAATGTGTAACATAGTACGTTGGCTCGATGTATGACTAGTGCGTGTGCTGTGTCGAAAACGACATCGGAATTATGGGTATAACAAAGATTTCGCAGGCAAACGGATCCTTCGTCATTCCTTCAGATATGCATTAAAAAAAAAAATCCAGCACAATCGACTGTTGGTCTGCTTAAAAATAATAACAATTAAATCCGTTGATTGACAGGTCCGGTGCTTACTGCATTTTTCTATTTACAAATGCTTAACAAACTCTTGTTTTTTTCCATAATGCGGAATAAATACGACGTTAATCTGTAACAACTCCGTTTCATTCAATCCCAGACGTACGATTTTGATAAAATTATCATTCGGACGACACACACATACACAGTTTACATATGCAGATTCGATCAATTGCACAATAGCATATTACAATTTCAGCTATATTAATAATTTCAAAGAAATAAATTCCAAATTATATGAGTGAATTTAAATTTGTATATGCGTAAATTTTATAAAAATTCACAAGCATCGGAACGTAACGTGTACCCTGTTGTCTGTGGTCGTCGTCCTACGATCGAAAATCAAATATATCGAAAATAATAATCAATAGAAAACAATTATGCGCAAAATACGGGAATCTTGAAAAACGGACTATAAAGAGACTTTAACGTGAAACACCTTGCAACTGTTACTACCATACTTGAATGGCATTTATCGAGATGAAGGAAGCGATTTGTTTCTCTCAAAAATTAACCATTACAGAAAAAACTTATTCTGATTTATTCTGTCATTAATAGTGTTATTTTTTATATAATGTAAGTATAGGCATAGTTCTCTCGAAGTTTTCTCTTATAAATATTTCTTATCTAAAACTATTTTTTATATAGAGTAACGCACAAAAAGATAAATATGAAGAATCTCATATATAAAGATTATATATACGTATGTTCATTTTACTTTTAAAATAATGATGATATAAATATTTGCATTACATGTTCTTATTTATATAATGATCAAGAAATATTATTTTTATGGATAAAATTAAAATTACGAACTGAATAAAATGCACAAAATATAAATTTGATAATTTATATTAATATAAATCGATGTATTTATCACCTTTGATGACATTTTCATGTTCATCTTTTCAAACACGAATTCCATACTTGAATTTTATTCCTGACATTTAGTAATAAAACCGTTGTAATCAAATTAATATGTCAACTCACGCTTCCCCCTTCTTTCTCTATTATCATATTAAATGATTTCTAATTATATCAAAGAGATATTTCTCATATTTTGATCATGCTTAAGAGATTCACAAATCGACATATAACTGATGATTACAATAAGACTTATCGAGAACTATGCCATCTTACTAAAGGAAATACTTTTACTTTCATCTCTTTTCAGACACGAATTTTATATTAATTCTGAACACTTATAAAAAATATTAAGTTGTAAAAAAGATGTTTTTTTCATCAAACGTATTATATATAATTAAAGGAAAATTCAAATTCTATTTCTAATCTCTGTAATAAAAAGACACCACACATTAAACAATTGTTGTGCAGCTATAAAATATTACATCATTAATATCTCAATTTTGCACAATATTCAAGTACAATAATAGTACTGTTTGTTTCAGTCATGTCCTGTGGCACTTTTTATGTTTGACATGGAATAAATGTATATTAAAATGTATATTAGAGAGAGTAAAAGAACAAACAAAATAAGTGCAGAAGGAAAGGTTAAATTGAACGGACTTAATGCCTTATGCCGAATATGGTGCTTAATATCTGTCTATCTAGATAAAAACAGTACTTCCAATTTTCGTATTACCAATTTACTTTCTTAATGTGAAAATATAAAGTACTTCCTTTATCATGAAAGCATATATATATTAAAACATAAAATGAAACTTATAGAAGAAGGATTTGAAAAAATTTACATTATTAGATTTCTTCATGCACATGTTCGATTCTCATCATCTCTCCTTTTATTAGTTATCTGTCATCTGCCAATGCAATATAAATGTCATAAGCAATGGAGGAAAGCAAGTAAAAATAGTAAATCGTAATAATAAAACGATGTGTGTGTGTGTGTGTGTGTGTGTGTGTGTGTGTGTGTGTGTGTGTGTGTGTGTGTGTGTGTGTGTGTGTGTGGCCATGCCTCGTTATTTCTATATGTATAGATTAAGGGCTTTAATAAAAGTAGATACTATCTTATGAGTAATGTTACAATTACAAATCTAGTGTTGCGCATTTACAATTCGCGAATGCTTATATTTCGCGACGATGATCTTCGTGATCGCGAGAATCGTCGATTCCCGTATTTTTCCCTTCTTAGATCCTTCCTAGTGTGTCGTTACGCACTAGTATTCGTCGATTACTGTCATTTAACGTTCTCACGGTGTACGTTACGTAAAACACCGCACAATCTTCGAAGGCGATACGATACATTTCTCTTCGCTTTCGTAGAACTGTTTAAAGAATAAAAGTTCGTGCGCACCTCATTACCACGCCACAACTGAGTTTCTCATTTTTGGGAGGAAGAAGAAACATTTTCCGTCTTCATCGTGACGAACTTGGTCGTTTCAGGCTTGGAGTTTGGTTGAGTACGATCTCTGGCAGTGACTTGCGATTTGCTCACCACTTCGTGAGATTTTGTGCAGGAACCGGAATTGTGCCTACTACGAGGCTGCTGTTTGTTGAGATCTCGCTGGTTGTTTGACGACGATGACGATGTCGCGGAGTCATTCCATCGTCGAGGATGGCTCGTTAGCCTACCGGAACCGAAAGAACTGGCTCTATTACGAAACTGTGAATTTACAGGCTCTAGGCGTGACTTTAGCGCGTTACTACTTTCGGAATTTGTGATTGGCAGTGTGACGGTGCTAGAACCACCTGAGAGCCGACGTTCTCTGTTTGTCCGCACATCTTCGCCGCTAGCGCTTTCGGATACGCTTCTGTTGCGTTTCTTCGCAACGTAAAGCATTTCGAGTATTTGTGGCTGTAAGAAACAATGAGCATTATTAAGAATGTACGAAAGATTTGTATCTCATCAGCAAGCATTTAACCCTCATACAATCTATAAGATTGTTGCAAAAGATTTTCATCGCATCTCGCTTTACCTCTGAATATTTGGGCTCTCGTTTACTATCGATATTAAAAGATATATATAATATAATAAAATATATATATATAACATGCAAATACATCTATGTATAGTACAATTTATATCAGCAAGTTACAATTAAATTACATTGGCAACTTAGTTACAAATGGATGAAACATCTGAATGAGTTTTGATATTGAGTGATGATTTGATGATTGAGTCGGATATCAAATTGTTTAATGTAATTGTTTGTCGCAATGCTACTTTCAAACTCCACTCAAAGAACGAATGTCCTCGTGGCGTTAGCGAAACATCACGTTTGTTCTTGCACACATTTACCGTTTAACCATCACAGAGTCATAGTTAAACAACCTATTTTGTGCTAATCCCAGAAACGAACAGAAATTAAATCTGGAGTCGTTGGCCGAAGAGTACAATCAATATACAAGTAACATGTAAGAATATTCTTACCTCCACTACTCTGAAGTCTTCGATATTCTTGAATTTCGATAAGTACTCTTTTAATTTAGGATCCACGTGAAGCTGATCGGAATTCTTGTAATACTTCAAAAATGCCCAGAATTTTTCCAATCCATATAGTTGTCCTGTTAATTCAGACAATATTTAACTTGTTAGTATTTATCATACATCACCATCATCGCATACTTGTGTTAACACATGAATGTGTATGTTAGGCTTGGCGAATAACAAATTGCTCATTGTAATTATTTGTCGTGGTGCTACTTTCAAACTCCACTCAAAGAACAGATTGTGTCCTCGTGGCGTTAGCGAAACATCACATTTGTTTTTGCACAAACTTACCGTTTAACTATTACAAGATCATAGTTAAACAATCTATTTTTGTGCTAATTCCAAAAACAAAAAAGGATTATATTTCGACTCACCGCTTTCGTAATCATATATTGTCTCTACTTGAAAATCTTTGTACAATGGATGTTTGAATTTCTTCTCCAAGCCGTAACTATAAAATCTAAATAGACATTCTAGCCCGTATCGGTATCCTTCAGAAGCATCCTCCTTGGCAATAGTTCTGAATTCTTCGTACATGGTACGATTGAAATTTTCACGCAGGAAGAACGACCAAAAACGGAAGAGAGTGTTCATCTCTTGCGACTGTCCAATACCTAGCCGCTTGCGCTCTAAGAAGATATAAATATAGTATATAAATAAAAGTCTTGATTTAACAGTATTAAACAATCTTCTCATTTAGTAATGGTCAGATAAAAGTGCCTCCGCATAATTTGCTCAGTCGGGAAAAGAAGACAAAAAGAAAAGATTCATCATTTCAATTGGTCAAATTGGTAATTTAATTTATTCAGTATACTGTCGTGTGTAATACCTTTCATACAGCGCGAGTGGTACTTGTGATAGACCTGCTGAGTGAAACCGTTTTCCTTCAACAAAGCATGACTCGGATGTTGGAACGTAGGTAAAGCTTGTGGTACGCTGCCGTAACTACTCGACAAGTAGCCTTCGTTAGGACTAGTGCCTGCGCTACTCCTAAAATAATATGGAGCAGAATACAAATTTTGAGTATGCAAAATAAATTTACGTTTTCGTAGTTCGATTATATATTTTCATTCAGATAACATTTTTTCCACAAAATAATTCCTTCAGTCGGGAAAAGAAGACAAATAAGGATAGATCATCATACATCATGTTTCAAATAGATTAAGAAATAATAATTAGATATAACGCAAATCAATTAGGTCTGAAAATCAATTTAGAAGAAAAAGTTTTTTATGGACAAGTGTGGGCAAAACAAGGTCCCGTTGATTTCCTAAAAATTTACTCTTTAAGGTACTAACTTCATTCACCGAATCAATTGACATTGATAACTATAAGGCAAAAATGCGACAATATTGCATACCCTGTAGAATATGTACGGGGACGATGCTCTCGAACATCCATGATCCAACCGACATGATGTTCCACCGGAGGGTTATTGCTATGACGGGTTTTCCTCTTTCGAGGTGTTCTCGGATCAACGGATGGTCCGTCCTTTACAACAGCAAAGAAACGAGGCGCACTTCTTCGCTCTTCCCTCTCGATCCTTGATCTTTCGTTCCAACGGTTTTTCTCTGTCCTACGCTCTTTTCTTTCTTGACACTCCTGACTCGTAGATGGTAGCTGTAGGACATGTAGGATGTTGTAGTTTAACGACATTCTCGCTACAGAACGACTTATTTTCTTATTTTATGAAACTCAAGATACCTGTGATGATGGCTGGACAATTTCCAAGTCGTCTTTAATAGAAGGAGGTGGTGGTGGTAATTCTGGATTTGCTTTTCTAGGAGCTTTTGGTGCCATTTTTTCAAAGTCCTCTTGACTAATGACATTGATGGTCTTGTAACTTCCGATAGACGACGATGAACCATACTATTTTTAAAACAAACTTGATTTATATGAGATTTATTTAATCCTTGGCTACTAAACATGAAAAGGAAATTACAAAATTACCCTCTGACGATCTTGCGTCCATAAATCTTCTTCGTAACAAAATAATCCGTCATTAATAGCCCGCTCCAAATCTCGACTCATTTTTACTCTCGTTATCCAGTCTCCGGTTCTGTCATATCCTTCGTGTTTTGGAACTCTAGACGTTTGCGTGACGATAATGATTTTATTGATCTCCCTATCTGATATATCGCCTTCGTCATCAGATCTGTAAAGTGTAACATATTAGTATCACTTGTAAATGCATTAAAAACGTATAATAGATTTGAATTATAATGGATATGTACTGATCTTATTTCAGTGCTGCTTTTAGCTTTAATGTTCAAAGACAAAACAATACTCACCTTGTGTAGAACAGAATAAAGCAATTGAAACTCGACGATATTTAAGAAACTATATTAACACATTGTCGACGGAAGACATAAATCGGTATTTTCCGGTTTTCAGACATTAAAAATGCGAAATAATAATTCACATCTTATGCCATTCCTGTTATCACCATTACTATGTGTATAATAATTATTATATTTATTTGATTATGTGTTTGTAACATAATGGTTTTATAGACCCTCCATTCAATTTTGTGACGGAACTGAAGTCCGATCCGTATCGCAATATAACGTCAACAATGTGTTAAAGTAAAACTGTCTCGTAAAATGAGTTTCTTAGGAATTCATTGAAACTTGTGCCATATATACATATAAATATTAAATACAATTCTCATACAATTAGAACAAAATTGATTGTTCAGGAGTTGAAATATTTCCAATTAAAGTGAACATTTTTGTTTTTTTTTTAAGTTACATATTCATTCAACATATTTCATTCTTTAATTCTTATTATTGTTACATTATATACCTACATATGTATTGTTATATACATATGTATTGTTGTATACATATTGTTGTATATTTATATTTTCAATTTTTATCTTTTTTCTAATTTTATCTTCTTTTAATTTTTTTTTAATTTTTATTTTTAATTTAACTAATGTTATCTTTTAATTAACCAAATTTATCAATGCACATTACAAATCGTCGAGTTTGTCATTAAGTAAATGACAGTAGTGTCAACAACTTTGCATTTAACTGACCCATCTGTTTCATCCATTTCCTCGTCGAATTTAAAATGCAGTACTTCTCGTTCCTCGCTTTTATTAATATCTGGGTTCCCTTTCTTCTTGTGCGGCTGTTTAACTTTTCTTTTCACCTGCAAATCATTTATTTTTATGGATTTCGTATATTCACATACGATTTACGATTAAAATACCTTTTAACACTTAACTTAGTAATATATTGCATAATGTATCATAATTTAGGAAATTATGTAAAATACAAACCAATTACCTTTTGCCAATTGTCGTCACTTGAATTTGATTTTTCGTTTTCTTGGTCTTCTGACGAGCAATTTAAAATAGAAGAATGTGTCGTAGCTGGTAATTTATTGTCTTCCTTTATGAGAGAATTATGACTCGAAATAGAAGTTATAATGATATTTGTTGGTTCGGATATTTCTTTTGCTTTTACAGACTGCTCTTCATTCTTCGTTTCATTACTTTCGTTCGTAGTTGTAGGTAGGTTATTACTATTCACTGTCAATTCCGTCGGTATAAATTCTGGCACATCAGGATTTAAAGGCTCTACCAGGGAAAGAATACTTTCCGATTCATTACACGTTCCTGGCATCGGAATGGTATGGTCAGTTTGAAGAATAAATGGAACTACAATGGGTTCAGGTATGCTAGGTAAAGGCCTTGCTGCAGGATAAAATTCACTTTCAACTACATCAGGTATTATTTCATTTTGAAGTGGCATAAATAATTCCGAAGAATCTGAAAAGAATGGTTTGTCCGCTGTATCTAGGATAGGCCATTTTGATGGATCAAACCTTGTTCTAACCTGAAAATAAAGAATTTATATATTATTTGGATTATTGTTGTGCCATCGATTACATTATAATGTATTAATGTTATAATATATTATTTAATTTATTTTCCACTAAGTAATTTTATCATACCTTGTACCCATCTACTAATTCTAGTTTATCAGATTCCATAATTGCCTCTGTCACTAAACGTACATCCGTAGTTAAAGTTTGTACACGATAAAAGGATGCGATCAAAGTGATAGGTAAAAATCCCTGAACATCCATTTTACGACGAAGGAAGAAGTCTCGCATAAGATTTTCCTCGCTAAAGTAATACTCTCTATGAAAAGAAAAAGCGATATTATCCTAATGTTATATGCTGAATGCTAGGTATATGCTGGAAAAAAAAATAGAGAGAAAGAACTCACATTTGTTTCCGTATATATTCCTTTAACGTATTAGTATCTAAGTTAAGGTAATCGCTGTAATAGTACGTCCCTGAACAATGCCCCATCATGTATGTAGGATCTGGCTGTTCGTATTTAAGCATCTGAAGTAGAAAAAAGCAAACATCATGATATATCTGTCGTGGAAAAGTTTCGAGTAACAGAGACATACAAGTTTTACAATCAGTTCTACTTTCATTTCATCTCCATCAAGTTTGTCAGAGAGATTCCCAAATGTTAACATCATTTTGATCAAAATGATCGTAATTTACGATTATAATTTAAGCTTCGACATCGAGTAAGATGGAACTTACTTGCACGTAATCCGTGCTTGCATAATTCTGATACTCGTGATCCTGTCGGTGTCTGAAACTACCGCTTCGTGCGCCACCACGTCCGCCGCCGCGTCCTCTACCTCTGTAACTCCTTCCACCGCGACTACCTCGATAGCTATTGTATCCTGTCGATCGGTCGTAGTCCCTCTCACGCCACGTTTGTTCACCATCTATTTGTATTACACGATAATTGTAATTATAATATTTAATTATGTAAGCACTTAATTGGAAGCATGAAACGCACAAGTTCCCGCTGGTTAAAGCGACAACTCCGTTGTGCGCAAACGATTTTACCTTCACTGTTCCTTTCCCTCTGATTCTGATACTTTGGCGACCGTTCACGTTTACCATGATTTTTCGTCAAGTCGATATTCAGCTTGACCCATTTTTGCTTGTTCACTGTAAGAAGAGCGCGATTATTAGAGATCATATTTCACGTTTACGCTTCAAACATGAAACGAGCGTGTGAAGTTTCCACTGTAAGAAGATTGTTATATATTTGCCATTATCTTGTCGCGCGCGATCTACGTGCAAAGATCGTCGACCATCTCACCTTTCCTTTTCTTTTCACTATTATCCATATGTTCGTCACTATCGTCTTGGCAGTGGTTCTGCTCCTTATTCTCCTTCCCCCTGCTTTCAACGTTACTGGTATTGGTCTCTTTGGAATTGTTCGGTTCAACCATCAAGGTACCATTTTGCTTCGGCGGTGATGTGATTGTCTTTTTCTAAAACAGAATATCGTTTATAAATATAAATATTCATGTTGGACAAAATGTAATACAGTTTGTGGATTAAGATAAAAGAAATGGCACGCGGAAGGAGAACGTGTACAAGTATCGAGTGATTTTCAGATGTGCGATGAACTTTTTCACCTGAAATAACATTAGAAACTTGATATTCCTCTAGCAAAAATTCTACACTCACAGATCCATAGATAGATCTGTAAGCTCTAGGTTTTGCGTGCGTTATATAATCTGTATGTCGAGAAAAATTCAATCATACGCACCTCTCCCTGTGTTCCCAAAGTTGGCCAATCTCCGATGTCTGTAAAGTCACTTGCCTGCAGCAATGATGCGATATATTATTTAATATTGACGCTGCTGATTTTTATGATTCTCTTATTTAATATATCTCTGGTGTAATATTATAATATTCTTCACAGAACTGTTGTTTGGCATGGAAAATTATTTATCATACACTATAAACGTGATTATCTAGCTCTAAAACTGTCATGTAGATAAAAGACTATCTTTCAAGTTTGCCGAATAAAATTGCGTATAAATGTCATAAAATATAGTTCTTTCCCGATAGAGAACGGGCACATTAAAATAACCGATTGCACGTACCTTTTGGTTGAATTTTCTCCTATCTCTGGGAGCTTTGACAATCGTAGGTTGGACGCTACTATTGACACCATTTTCTGTACGTAAAGAAAAAAAAATATGTACATATATTTCATTATAAAATGCATTACATAAGGAGAAATATCTTAATTATAATTAAAATTATATTCAGGTTACTTCGCACAAAGAGTATCCTCAAGTTTCTTTTCGACGATTCAATGAGATTCAATGTCCATAAAGTGGCTGTATGGAGCCGCATGTTCTTACTTATTAAAAGGACAGAGTTGTTAACATGAAAGAAAGGAAGAGAACATAATTGCAACGAACCGGTCGTAACGGAGAAGTTTGCAATAATATACAAGGTCGATTACAGAATTTGATATTCCAGACCTCGTTAAAAATTTTTCGAAAGCTACCCCCGCAAGTAATTATATCCTTATCGGCCCCTTTATAACCTGTTCCAAACCGCGTGACCTCGATTATCTTCGCCGCGCACAGGCGTGTGTGTTTCTCGAATATTTTTATCTGTAATATCCGACACGTCAGACCGGAGAGGGGAAACGAAGTGAATACACAGCACGAAGCGCGAGAAGCCTAGGACAAAACTCGCTCTCTTTGTAATTTACTATCGCATCATTCACGTGCGTACGCGCGCGCTGAAAAATATCGGTATAATCAAGCGTGTTCTCTTTTTTTTTTCCGAAAATATTTCTCGGTTGCTTTTGCAACTACAGTATCATAATTACACACCATAAATTATTTTACGCTGATGAATAAAGCGCTCCTATTAATTGTTTTTCAGTACTTAGGCAGTACTACTTCAGGAAATACGAAACACTTGCCACCATAAACGAAGCGGCAAGGTCGTCGTAATAAAAATTAAGATGACATGTGAACCATTTATGAGTCATAAAAAACGAAGCGATAAATTACGTACGTTATTCATATAGAACGTGCGGTCATAGATAGCAATAACTATACTAATATCAATATCGCCGTTATATATGACATGTTTCTGCTACTTACACGTGTTCTCCCTCAAAATTACGATTTCGTATCATTTAATTATATTTTTTTACCTCATACTTTTTCTTATCTGCCCGGAGGCTTTTGCGCGACCGAAGAGTCTGTACACCAACATTGCTACTGCCATTGACATACGTATGTAATATATTTCAATTCCAAGAACTCGCGGAGAGATTAGAAAGCTTTTTTACACGCATTATATATTTACAAATTATATATTTATATTAACAACATCAGACAAATAAAAGAAGAAAAATTGTCGAGCGTAGTCTCCAGTCGATATTCCTGGGTTTCATAAGGTTTCACGTAGCGTTCTTTCTAGCTCTTATCGACTCGACTCGACACGACTCGAGGTTCGTTTCTTCCGCTCCATCAAGTGCGAGAGAGAGTCAAGAACGAGCAGATGAATAGCAGATGAATGCTAGAATTCAAACTGAGAGAGCTGAGCGAAACGTGAGCAAGTTTCACGATCTCGATTAGAGTCTGAATCGCTTCATCAACGGCGGCAAATCGCCGCCCGATTTTGTCTTGATGCCAAGAGAGCCTCAGAGGACGCTGATGCCGGAATATAATCGTGGCACATTGCCCTGAACCCGATTGCCGAACGTATATACAACTGTCCGACGCCGACGATCGTGGGCGATCGAAAACAATAAACAACGGGAAAGCAAGCGCGATTAGAATTAGAACGTTCTTTCCCCAGGTGAAAAATACGAAAGAGAACGGCGGCGAGACTGCCAACGCTCGCCGGGGTTTTACTAGGCATTTCAGGAATTGCGCTCGTGTTGCTGAACAAGGATGCGGTAATGCGTACGAGTAACAATCGAGAGGTGCAAAGCGATCTTACGTAAGCGTCTCGAGCGCGCACGACGCGCGTACGAAATTGCGTACGGAAAAAGGAAAAGGATAACGCTCGTTAGCTTGTGGGTGTCGCTTGTCGCAATAAGTCCAAGTATTGACCGTGTCGTAAAAACTTCAGCACTCGCAGAGAACATTCGTTTCTGTGACGCAACCGTGACAGACGATGATAATAATCGTAAGCGGCCTAACGAGAGCGATAATATAGAGAGTTCCATTAAGAAGACGAACAAAAACAAGTTAATGAAAATGTGGCTGACAAAGCGACGCTCCGTAGAAACGGAGGGGGGGAGGAGGGATCTGTTATACATTCGCGCTCGGTTAATGTTAACACAAGTCATGGTTTATTTAGCCGCGACTGAAAGTACCACCAAGTCGCCACCTACACTTCGACATTGCGTGTTTGCAATGTGCATAATGAGACAACGATGATGAAGCCAACTCACGTTTAACAGTATCGTTTTCGCACTCGTCTATCTTCATCTTGTCGCGTGGACGACTTCTCGCTGTGACGGCAGCTTCGACGACAATCTTACTCGTTTTGGCCCGTATCGCGCGCGCGGAGCTCCAGTCTAATTAAACTGCGGTTTTAATTGCGTCAACGACGAAGACCGGCGGCATGGACGGTTCGTTACGCGGACGAAAATTTCACAGCTTCGCGCATCGCCGAAGTGAGATGCGCGAAGCTGTGATCGTATTGAACATGTTGTAATCGCGCGCGTGATTATCAGACTGCGATATCAAGGTCGAGCGAGAACCGCGGACTTCTGAAATCTATATATATATATATATATATATATCTCTCTCTCTCTCTCTCTCTCTCTCTCTCTCTCTCTCTCGGTATAAATAAGGAGACGATTTTTTTCAAACTAACCGGGCAAATCACCGCTTTTTCCACGAGGGACGCGAATTCCTGACTAATTGCCGATGCAACGAAATCGCGCGATCGTAGCGTTACTCGAATTCCGTCGGCGCGCGAACTGACACTTCTCGACTATCGCGTTTAAATGCGTCGCGCGTATGAGATCCGACGACGATGCGTTCAATGTATCGCGATCGATGCCAAAGTCGCGATTCGAGCGTCGACAAGCCACTGAGAAGCGAGACTGGCTCGAGGAGCGATCCAGTGCCGAAGAGGCCGGCAACGACGACGATAACGACGATGACGACGACAACGACGGTGGAGTTCGAAAGGACGGAGAACGAGAATACTTTCAATCGCTCTCTGCGCGCCAAACAACGCGCAGAGCGATTGTGATCTCCAAACGGATGGCGAGGCACAACAGGTATTATACAGGATGTAAGTGCAATTGTTGTATCGCGGCAGATTTTCTTGTCCGAAGTGAGAACGATTTGTTCTCTGGGAGGAACAATTTCAAAACTGCGCGAACGACCAAGAAGAGAAAGAGTTCCTGCAGAATGCGCTTCATGCGATGCGAATGCACGATAAAATTATATGCGGGCCAGCTGCTCGCGATTTATATTTGTTCAGTTATTACTGAGCAAGGACACTTATTACATTCGTATGAAATAAATTGTCAGTTAGAAGGGTGAAGGACGATAGGAATCGTTCGCAACGAGACTTACGCGATGTCGGAGGGCGAAGTCGTGGAAAGTATTCCGGCGGTTTGATCAATTAGTAACCAGGCAACGTGACGTTAAACGACATCATTTCCGGTCAACCCAAAGTGTAAAATCCCGAGAATCGTTCGGTTCAGCCCATACAGGATGTCCGGAATCTTTTGGGAAATTCAGATCAAAACTGAGAAGAAAAACCAAGTACCATTTTTTGCAAAAATTGCAATTTTTAAGTTATTTATGATTGAAAATAACCACAGGCTCTAGAGGCTTTTTTGAATTGACAACTTGAAAATTTGCGTATTTATTTACGAAATAGTAAAGAACTTTTTTGTCCAGAATGACTTAATCTACAATTATATGACGGTTATTGTGTCTAGCGATAGATATGAGTATATTGAACTTTGAACTCTGAAACTTGAATCTGTCGCTAGACACAATAAACGTCGTATAATTGGTTAGATCGTTTTGAACAAAAAAATCATTTGTATCATTTTGCAATAAATACGCAAATTTTCAAGTATTTTCAATTATCAATTAAAAGGGTCTTTAAATGTAGTCATTTTCAATCATTAATAACTTAATAACTTCTTGCGATTTTTGCAAAATGGTACTTGATTTTTCTTCTCAATTTCATCCGATTAATCTTTACAATTTTTTTCCAAGAGATCCCAGACACCCTGTGTACTTATTTACGAAGCTACAACATCGAATAAAATTCGTGCACTCGCGCAAGCTTGCGCAATCACTTTTTCCGTGTAGTCGATTATCGAACGTCGAAACATTTCCCCGGCCAAAAGAATTGCTTTTCGCAATCACTTCGATATTAAGATGTGGTTCGATACTTTGAATTCGATCACTTTCGCAGATCTTTCGAAAGTGACAAAAATCTCGAATACGTATATTCAATCGCCGTGGCGATTCTTTTCGGGCCGCTTCTTTTCGGGCTTCTAAATCCGTTCGCGAGCCACTCGTGAAGTAATCGTGGAAGAGACGAAAACGAAGTGTCCGTGTAAATGTCTCTCTTCTAAAAATATACGGACATGGGAAAGATAAAATATATGTTTATATTATGCGTATGAAAATGGGAGAATCGATAGTCGACGGTAGAGAAGCGTGCAACATTCCGACATTTCTTTTTTTGGAGAGAGGAAGAGCGAGTGTTGTCGCTGCTCGAGATTGTAATTGATTTGTACGACATATCGCGAAAGAGAAGCGAATCTCGCAATGTCTCCGAAATGATTTTTTCTGTGAAAAAGTCGGACTTTCGTAATACGAAAGCGGAATAAAGAAGCGATATTTCGCGAAAAGAGATTTATTTTATTTCTCTCTTTTCTCCATTGTTATAATAAATTGACAAGTAAAGATAGAGAAACCGGAAATTCAAAAAATTATGAAACTTTGTGTGGAAGTAAAGTAGTTCATCCGTAATGTAAAATTTTTTTAATGTAATGTAAAATTATTTTTTGTTCATGCGGAATTCCAGTTTGAGGGGATGAAAATACTCTTCGAAAAGAAAAAACCGTTTTCATCTTTAACGTATATCTTTTAAAATACAAGGCGTATGCAAAAATGATTTGTATGAAAGTTGTAATGTATTTCATACTCTTTGCAGCCGTGTGTTTTCAGATTTTTTAAAATTTGAGGAGGGCGGATTTCAAAAATTTTTCAATTTTGCAAAATCTGAATACACAGTTGCAAAGAGTATGAAATATATTACAACTTTCATACAAACCAATTTTGCATATGCCTCGTATGTCAAAAGATATATGCTAAAAATAAAAATGACTTTTTTTTCTTTCGAAGAGTGGTTTCATCCCCTCAGATTGGAATTCCGCACAAACAAAAAATAGTTTTGCATTACGGATGAACTAATTTATTTCCACACAAAGTTTCAGAATTTTTTGAATTTCCGAGTTTCATGTTTCCTTGTGCGATGTTGACTCCGCGCCACGGGACGTGCAACTCGTCGAATATTCATCGGCGCTACAATACAGCTTCTCGAGTGATCGGATCGTATTGGGAAATGTTTTAGTAGTGACTCGAACCGATCGTACGCGAAAGATATTTACCCCGGTCGAACGTTCTAACTCCTATCGCGGCATTTTGACCGTGCGAAAACAGGTTTCCCTTCTCGTGACTCTCACTTTCCGCGACATATTTTAATGTGGATCGAACGCGTCGGCAAGATTGACCAATTGCGGTAAAATTCCCAAAGCCCAACCTTCCTTCTCGCGCTCGAGATTAAACATGTCCGATCGTTGAAGATCTCAGCTCATTAATGCGATCTTCGTGAATACAGGACCTTGAATTCCGCAACAATAGAGATGAGAAGAAACAAAGAACAAGAAAGCCACGCTGAGACAAAGTTGGAAAAAGATAGAGATGTTTCGCCTTATCGATTCTGAAATTCACGGAGCGGAGTAACGAGGAAGTTAAATCACGAAAGGTGGAAGAGTTTGAGAGGCAATCAGATCTCGTAGTCGCGCGATAAAAAGAGACGAATTACTAGAGATTAGAAATTGCTTTCAAATTACGAAGATGAGAGGGAGCATGAAAGAGAGAGAAAGAGAGAGAAAGAGTGAGAGAGCCAAAACGTCTGCGACCGCAGCCAGTCTACGATGAAAACAAACGAAAGGACACGAGTCATCATTGAAGAACACGCGCGTTCCGTTATGAGCGCACGTGAGAGCGTACGACGTAACATTAAATGTACTTATGGAGTAAAGCAGTTTAGACTTTCGAGTGTTTCAGAATTCCGCGACGAGTACTTTATTTTCAAGCTAGGACAAGATCTGTTGTTCTCAGGAGCGCCGGACAGGAATGAAGAGATTAAACATCGTGGATCATTTCTCGTTGATTAATAGGAAATTCGATAATTTCTATCGATAACATACATGAGCCAGATTTTTCACCGTCCTTAGAAGATTACGGTCACGCTTTGTTATGCTTGGAATTTACGATAAGATCTTTCTTTTTACCGTACCGATGCTGCACTGAGGCTCAATTTTTATTTGCCGCCTTAGCGCTCAGTTGTGTGCCTCGTTTCATTTCAGAGACAACAATCTGGCTGAGTCGAAAAGAACACAGACGCGATGTTTATCCGGTTGAGTATAATATCTATCCAGGATGTGGGTCCAAGACTGAAACCGGACTATTGGCAGATAAACAGGCTGCTGAGATAAAGGACTTGGAGAACCTTCAAGATTTTCAAGAACTTGGATGGCGGCACGCGACAGAGTTCACGCTGGCGTCGTCGGCGTTTTGACTTAAATTTAGCCGAAAAGATATAACACGCCGAGTGTGCTCCTGCTCGAGGAGGGGATCGGAAGAGGAGGACAGTCTGTATGTGTGTCTCTCTCTCTCTCTCTCTCTCTCTCTCTCTCTCTCTCTCGGCAGGAGCCTCGTGCTCCTCGAGCCCGAGAGAAATTCGCTACGAGGAATCGGCGCGCGAGAGTCCGCTTACTCTGTCGCCGCGGCGGAGTTGACGATCGAATCGAAAGTTCGCAATCGCGCGCACCGACCCGATCCCTCGGACGAAAGTGAACGTGCGTTCGAACGAACGGGCTATTAAGTAAGACGCGCGCGTCACACTACGGATATATTCTCGTAATAGCGCGCGCGCACCTCTCGTGACTCGCGGCGCCGCGGCGCGGCGGCGTCTCCGCTGCGCCAGGGAGAAAGAGTGTCAATGTCGTTGCCCTCGCTCCTTGCGTTCCCCAGCGCAGCGTAACGCTCGTCCTGCGTGCTCGATCGCTGCAACAAATGGATCAATTGCGTGGCTGCGTAATGCGCTGACATGGCGACTGCCGCGGATTCGGCGGCGCTCCCGACTCGCGCCAGGTGTCGCGCCGCAAAATCGCGGTGGTTGCGTCGAAAACACAATGCTGTCACATGTTTGATAATAATGCCGGGAAGTAAGACTTGTCCCCTCCATCTCTGACCGCGCCGCTTTGCCACTTTGCGTCTTAGCGAGATGTCAACGTAGCGAAAATTAAGGCCGGTTGTTCCAACTTCTTGGTAAGTTAACTGATAGTTAAATCATACGTTTAATTCTTCGTTTTTCTTTTAATTTAGACAAAGACAGACGTATGATTTAACTATCAATTAACTTACCAAGAGATTGGAACATCCGGCGGCCCCTAAACTTGCGATTAGGAAAGGAGGAAGGTCTGTGTACTTCTACGAGACTCCTTCGGTATTTCTTCGACCGCTTGAGAGAGATGTTAGAACTTGTATATTTCGAAAAAACGTATATGTCGAAAAAACGTAAATGTCAAAATGTCAAATCACAATGTGTCATCTGTATGATGAGATGTTTTGAAGTGAGATGCGGAGAAGTGCGTTGTAGTAGTAGTAGTAAAAGGTAAAGAGAGATAGATAGATAGATAGAGAGAGAGAGAGAGAGAGAGAGAGAGAGAGAGAGAGAGAGAGAGAGAGAGAAAAGTGGCTCGCCTCGCGAAAAGTCATCTGGAATTCTTCGATATGCAAATCGATCGGCGAAGACAGCATGTCGATCTACCGATGCCAACATGGACATTTCGGTGCCACGTATATCTGAGACGTGTTAGCAGCACAAAGATAAGACTCGCTGCTGGTCGGCCGCTCACGCGGTACGTCATTTTTATTATCGCGATTATCGACGAGTCATATATCGATACGCGCCACGATGAACTTGGCTCTCCCATTTCGATGATTCGACTCTTTGAGACCTCTGCATCTTGTATAATTATTATTACAAGTACAACGAGATAAGCGAAGATTCGCGCAGCAGCGGAATCCCGTCCGCCGCTGAGTAAATGTTGCGTTTCTCCTTCTTTCTTCCTCACGTTCTCGCGTGTTTCTATTTTCATGTGCCTCGTTTCGTAATATGTACCTCCTCACCCGATACAGACCTCCCGCACGGTTTGTCGTGCAGCTATCTCGTGATCTCGAAGCGTCCTTTTAAATATCTTCGAACATTACAATCTAACGATGCATAATCCTACGACATAGCACATTCATTTGCTTTAATCTCGCACGTACATAGATGGATATGTAATTGGAAATCCGATCCGATAGGAAATGTCGATGAGTAGACGTTACTTTAGTCACGAGCCACTAGAAAAATTCGGTGAGTAAGAATTTGCAGGTGTAAACAGGTAACGCGACAGCTTGTTTTTCAATTGTACATAAAAGTTCATGTTAAAATTTCGAGAACCATGAAAACGCTTAATATCGAAAAGTGGGCGATCTATTTCTAGGAAATATCTCGCGAAATCGAGTACACCCAGGTACCGTTCCTTCAATTTCAACGAAGCACGACGAAGTGCGGCACATTGCTGCAATAGAACGAAAGATTTACGCACATGTACACAACAAGAATTATGTAAGTGCTATCATAACAACCTTGCTGTCGAAAAATTTGGAGAACGGTGATAAGATTGTTTCGCAATTGGAGCAAAGATAATTGTAAGATAATTTGCGAACTGTCTGGAGCCACATTTATTGTCGCTATAGTTAATATTCTCCGGGGGAAGACAGGTACTCAAGTTGACTATTTAAACGCTCTATCGTTACTATAACAGAATATTTAACTCTTCGAAATTTTTCCATAGATATTTAGACGTAAACTTTCTAGAAATTTTCCAACAGATGTCCGTAACAAAAATGTTATAAAATCGTCAAGTATATTTCAAATTTCTACAACGTGAGCGTGCTTTTTTTTTCTTTTAAATTTAAGGATAGAATTTATGACCAGCTAAGAAAGTGCAAGCTATTATACAAAAGCTATTACAAAAGTTAGACATTACAAAGAACATGACAGGCTCAATACCGATTAAAGCCTATCCTTAAAGGCGAACTTTAAAATGCAGTTAAAAATCTAAGTGTAATTTGTCATTCTTCGACAATTTACAATTTACTTCTTTGCCCAAGTTGTAAAATACGTCTCGAGGCTTTTACATATTTCAACAGTTCGAAATATTATGCCGGCCTTTGTAAATGGATCGGCCTAAGCGCGATCCTCGCAGGTAACAGGAACGTATTTTTCTTTCAAAGTGAGTTTAACCTTTCTTTAGATTTTTCTTTCATATATGATAAGTCCCCTCGATATTTCGAGGCTGTCTGTGAACAAAGCATCGAGGACTTTCCGGCAAAGTAAATGCAATCTGTCTCCAAGTTTATTCTTCTACGGCCTACGTAATAAATCTTTTTGTTAAAAATATTGCAGAATCACGTGAAAGAAAAATGAAATAGCTGGTTTTCCGAGGCAAACGCATTCAACAAATTCGGAAAAGGGCAAATTCCGAAAGAATTTCGAGAAGTACGAATACGAAGGAGAAGACTTTCTCCACAATTTTTCTACATGCATAAGTAAATGCCATGTATCAATAAAAATGGATAATATATAAGTGACACATATAAATAAATAAATAATACTTTCCCAGACTTTGTCTTTGTTTCCATACTTAAGAGCATGAATTTAGAAGAAATAAATTTAGAAAGAAATGAATTCAGAAAACGACTCTTTGACTCTACTCGATAATCCAACTCACCGGTGGTTGCACCTTGCTGCTGTTGCTGTTGCTGCTGCTGTTGCTGTTGTGGCTGCAGCACCCTCTTCTCCCTGTCGCTCTGCCTGTCGACCTGCATGGTCGTGGTGAGGACGCTAGTGGAAGCCAGCGTCGCGGTGGCGTTTTGCGTCGCCGGCGACGTTCTGCTCTTCGTCCAAGGGTTTACCGCGGGCAAGGGTGCTTCGACGTACTTGATGGGAAGTGGCTGGGGCGCCGATTGCGCCTCAGCCTCGGCATCCTGATCGTCTCCCCGATGAGTCTCCCTGGAACTGTGCTCTGTGGCAGCGGTGGTAACAGCGGCAGCTCCGGCGGCAGCGACGACGAAGGTGACGTTGCGATCACCACGTTCCTTGTGCGAGCGCTCATTGCTGCCGCCCCTACCGACGCCTCCGGCGCCGGCGCCGGCGCCGACTCCGCCGAGACCACGTGCTTGCTGCTGCTGGTGACGGTTGTTGTCGCGTAACCGATGACGCTCCCGGTGATGGTCTCGCTGATGCTGCTCGCGCAATTTCTCCTTACGCCGAGCGCTCTTCGGCGCGACCGTTTGGAACTCGCCGTCACTGCCCACGTCGCCGTTGTTCAACTGCTCGTCGACGTCATTATCGCGCGGCGACGCAGTCAGCGCCTCCTTACGGACGCCGGCGATCGGTCTGTCCATGTCGACGAAGACACTCCACGACATATTCGACGGACTATCACTGCGAAAATGTTTGTCCGAACACTTGCTCGCAGGCTGTGTCGGCTGACACCGGCCGGTTCTCTGATAGGACTTGCCTCTGACGACGCTCGATGCCATCGTTGACGTGGTGGTCTGCTCCTTCACAGTTGTCGTCTGCTGCTGCTGCTGCTGCTGCTGTTGCTGCTGCTGCTGATTCTGATGTAACTGACGCTGCTGCTGCAGCATCGTTGTCACCCGATTAACCGACTGACCACCCATATTCTCTTTGTTGTTGCCTGTGCACGTCTTCGCTCGGCTCTCGATGCCACTCTTCGGGTTCAGCACACTGGCGTAGGACTGGCCGGGGCCTTCCGGCCGTTCGCTACCGCTCTGCGCGCCACTGGCTACCTTGGCCGCCATCTTGCAGGCACACGAGCAAAAACACCGTGAGCAAAAACACGAGGTTCCACGGAGTAACCGCGCACGAGGTCGCACTAGTGCGCACTCGATCCGCGAGGAATTACCGTCGCGTGTCCGGACTCGCCGCGCTCGCGGGGGAGCTGGAGCGACTCGAGCTTGTCGCTTCTCCTTCTCGGGAACGGTTGATTCGCGACGCGCGCGCGCACGCAATTCACGCAGCAGACACGGCGGATCTCTAACCTCCACTTCACAGTCTCGAAGCACAGAAACTCTTCATGTCTCTACTGCTAGTACTACTGCTATCGTTACTATTACCGCTACCGCTAGCTGCACGTCGCTGACGAGAAGACTACTCGTGTCGTCGTCGGTAGGGCAGAGAAAAGACAGCCTGCCCGCTCTCGACTCTCGGCTCTTTTAAGCGGTCGCGCGCGCGCGGTCACCTCGCACGCGATGAATCCTCACACTGACTTTACGCACTCAGGCCGCAAATCCGACGCGCTGCGCGACGAGACACGAGGTACACCGCACAGGCCCGACCTCTACGACGGTGCGCACGTTCGATCGCGGCAATGAAAATCGCGACGCACGAGGCGCCTCGTGCTCACTCTCCGGCGTATGGGGTTAGGCGATTGCGCGCTGACTCTGCGCTTTAGCGACGATATCGACGAGCCAACGGCGCGAACTCGCCGCGATACGCGGCGATACGATCGAAACTGCGTCTTGCCTCGTGAATCTGCCCTCGTACGGACGAACGAACGATCGTCGTCGCACCACCATACGACCGTGACTTACTGCGACAGCGCGCTGGTAGCGGACAACGGCGCACACAGGCTGCCACACGGGCCGTGTCGTGGCGTGTAGGGTCCGGTTTTTCTCGGCGGCCGCTACTACTACTCGACCCGTAAACTCGCCACGGCGTTACCTTTCTGTCCAATACGATCGCGTACGATGCTCACGGTGGATGCGCGCGTCTACCAGAACCGGTGTGGCATCGCGTTACCGCTTGCGATTACGTAAACACGGCGCATTTTCGGCGAGAGCCTTTTCCACGAGAAAGCGGTGCGCGAGACACATGTGGCCCACTGTGGCCAACGCTGGCGAGGCATCTGTACAACACGAGAATGGCCCGCCCGGCTTCCGGTTTCATCGATCGCGCTCACCGCACGGCAGATGGCGCGACGGACGCCGCCGCTTCCACGCTTCCGATTTCAAACGAGAGTCGTGGGAGAGCGCGAATTTCGACGTATCACAACCGGCTGATCCTACGGGCGATTGAGAGAATGTTTCTTTTTGAGAAATTTCCCTTAAATTCATTCGTGATAACGATCAGAGGGGTAACTCTTCGCGTTTATTTCTTCAATTGTATCTTGCACTCTTAATGGCTCAAACAAGTGAATTTATTTCGTTTCTATACAATTTGTACATGTCCGTCCGTATTGTATTTTATCACAACATAATGTCAAAACATCAATTATTTGTGTATATTGTATACAATATGCAATCACTACCTATTATACATCACATATAAAACAATAATTATATAGTAAATATCGTTATTTTTAATGATTTACTTTAACTACGTAAGTGTTATACAATAGCACGTCATTAATCTTGATTCACAAATATCTGCTTGCAAAAAAGTAATTCATCGAAACAACATATAAATCTCTGTAAACACGATATATCTACGTAAAAAGTATCTCGTGCTCACTAAATGCTAAATATATTGCAATTTTATCATTTAGGAACATTAATGGCTGATAGCGCCTGTACTACTTCGATGTACTAACAATAACGACATCAATTATTGTACCTGATAGAATTGACTGTAACAGTTGTACTCTCTTTCTGTGGCAGATTGTCATTCGCAGCGGTCTAAAAATAGATCGTACGTGTGCATGTCCTTAACGGAGATCCTTAAATGAGTATCCAAAGACTATCACAAATCCGAAAAGAGTATTCGGTCATCTAATTAAATTTATAGTAATGTGCGGTTTTTTAACGTGTGCATTCATTGTAATAGTATCACAAAGTCGTCAACTGATGTCAATAGGATATTTCTTCAAAGATCGTTGAATAGATTCAGCTATAGTAGATCTAAAACAAAATATGATTGTGTATATTACACTAAATCGTCGAAGATTATTCAAAATTTGTTCTCGACGTTTCGTGGACATTTCAGTTCACTTTTTCAGGGAGATGAGCAATATGAAACTGGGAGAAACTTCAGTAACATAAAATTTCAGATTGCTTTTCTCTCTCTCTCTCTCTCTCTCTCTCCCTCTCCCTTTTTCCCCCCTCTCTCCCTCTTTAAATAAATAAATAAATATACTAAAACGTCGGAAAACATGTTATAAACGTTATATATAAATTTCGATAAATTTTGAAATACGTACCTAAAAACCTTTTGATGAAGAAGATAAGCGCTGACGTGACCAGCATCAATATAACGTATCTCAGCACCTGGCCATATTGTTTCAAGACTCATGCAATGATCTCGCGGCACGTACGCGTCATCTCTGGCGCAAACGGTGATGATCAATTCGGTATCGACTGGCACTTCGAAATTTTTCAGATGCGTGCATTCGTCCATTATGCCGCGCATGAACTGCAATGCTTCGTGCTCACGCCATTTGTTGTCTGAAAATAGCGGATGCTTCGGCACTGGCAACAAGCAAACTCCTATCATGAAAAGAATAACAGGCACCATAAAAAGCATGCTTACATGCTTCTTAGGATTATTAAAAACGAAGGCAAATGATAACAAGCACATCTGTAGTTACATGGCTAGAAAATAGAAATCAAGATATATTAATTTGATATTGGGAAATTCTTCCTTCTTGTGCAAACCAATGCCAAACTATAAACAGTAATTGTATGCATGCAATGCAAGTTAATTATATAGGACATTGACTCTTACCTTTGAGTATGTTGAGATCTTTTGATTTGAATCTATTAGAAATAAGATTTAAGGGAAATATCTTGGCTGCTGCTTTTTCTTCCGCGATTTGATATTGCAATTGATTGTTCTCATCTATAGATTCACTTTTGACAAAAATATTATTGTCACTGTTATTAACAGAATTTGTACTGTTTACATCAACCATAGTATTATCCTTGTTACTCCCATTAGATTCTCTTCTTAATTTATCTACTCTATTCATACTTGCAGGATAATGCTTTGCGAAATGTTGGCCAGCTAAGAAAGCATCCTGGAAATACATATTTAAACATATATTTATATATAAAATACATGCAAAATGTTTTCTCACCAGAAGATACTTACGTCGCGATCGATGATTTTGACCATTTTTGCTAAATCATTTTGGTATACTTTGTCCGAAAAGTACTGAGTCTCCAAGAGTGCCCAATTTATCGACGCACTCATCACACCCTCTGTAAACACAGGTGAAGCTGTGGACCACGACAAGCAAGGTACCAAAGATATTGGCTTTGGCCAATTGGTAGCAGCTAAAGAAGCCATCTACAAAAATAATATATGTTCAGACATGTGTAGTTTACAGAAATCTTACACAAATGAACTAACATGTCCACCCATTGACAATCCAGTGAGACCCAGTGGTCTGAATCCCTGTTGTTCGCACCAATTTAACAGAACAATTGACTCCATTATCAGACAGCCTCCCATGATAAAGATATCACATACATTGTGCAAACTAGACCGTCTAATGGAATATGGTCAAAAGAAAAAATTGCAAAATCTTGAGTAATTGAATAGTGTTATCCCGTTACAAACTTTCTACTCAAATCCTTACATTTGATCATCTGGTTTCCTCAGTCCATAAAATGGATTTTCCAACAATATCGATGCTATGCCTGCTTCTTTGAGCAACGGTCTAGCAATAAGATTTCTACGTCGCCAAAAAAACTAGTTAATAAGTAAAATATATGAATTTATTGATTAGAACAGAAAATTAGGTCATGCTATGTGTTAATTATTTTTCTTAAAGAAAATTGAAAGTAAAAAAGAGTGGCAATAAAGCAGTGGCCACAACATACATGATCTCCAGTTCCCGCAAGATGCAAGCAAATTGGCTTTATCTTATGGGAGTTCCATTTGGATGGTAAGATTACTTGAAAATAGGCCATTTTGGTTTTATCCGGCATTATTCCTGGAAGATGCTTCTCAAAAGGTGATTCAAATCGTCCTTCAATTACATGGCAGTCTGACCAATCTTCACTCTGATATATAAAAGTATACATAAATATCAATCTACTCCAGTAAAATTTTGTAAAATTTATATTAAAATATCAAGGATACCTTTGTAATTTCTATTGGATAATCAAGTGGTATCATATTGTAGCATGTTTCTCGGTTTGCTATGACTTTCCTGAATTCAAAAATCCTGAGACAAAATGTACGAATATTATATGCTTCTGTCAATTAAAGTTACAAATTAAAGTATTTTGGACAAAGGGCAAAATGATAGGAGCAAATAGATATCTATAGTTATTAAAAGTATATTCTTAACTTTATATGTTTATATCTATATAAAATTAGCTATGACAGTGTCAATGAGAGGTTAACGTATAAGAAATACAAATGTTATTTATATGCAAATAATAGCGTTCTTCGAAGCATTATATAAAATCATGTATTTATCTACTTATCATCATTGAAAACGAAGAACAATCTCGAATACATGTACAGATAATGTTTTAATATCAATATTTATTCGAATCTAAAGATGTGAAGTGCTCCTATGAGTGACGTTAGTTCAGATCAAACAGAATCAGGTTAGCAACTTACCGTTTCAAATTTTGAGGGTTGCCCCATCCCTTTGTGAAGAATTTGGTGAGCAGTATGCTCCTATAGACGGCGTCCAGGCGGCTCGGAGGCATCGCAAGTGAAGAGTGAAACGGCAACGGTCCAAATTCGAATTTATCGCACTATAATGTCATCGTCATCGTCGTCATTGTCGTCGTTATTGTACGAAGTAATTCAACCATTTCGATGACATCCTACGAAAAGTAGCTATATCGGAGCTATATCGCATTCGATCGGCTAGATTATATTTCCTTTCTTCGAAATAAATATTTCTTCAACACCGTACGAGTCCTGGACTTTTCTGCGAACCTCAAAAAATGCAACATGTATCTACGTGAGTATTTGCGCTACCGACAGTAGTACCGTGCGCACATTTTTACAGCGTCGAAGCGGGAAGTATACATATGGATTTTGCAGGAGGCCAATCAAATGACGAATCGGACGATCGGACGATAAGCGCGTCTCAATGATAGCGGGATATTCAAAGGACTCACTGATTCACGCTTGAGCATGGTCGATGTATCATCGCACGTAAATATGAATAATTTTACGTCATTTTATTTTCGTATGCATCTAACATGCGTAAGAGCCTGCATAACGGTCATATAATTTCAACTCTGAAAGTGAAAGCATAAAAGAAATATCGCAAAGAAATATAGGAAATGCAATTTAAAACTAGATATTTAAATGCGCACAAACAACACAAACGCTTATAACATAAATGGTCTCAAAAGAAGTAAAGTAGCTACTCGATCATAATTCGATATGTTTGGAGTCCCTTTCTTGCCGTAAATCTCAGTTTTTTGTCTAGATGGTTAGTATATTTTATGTTTATATATATTTTAAAGTTATTAATTCAAACTAGCCAGAGATAAAAGATGTTGATTTATGACAGATAAATAGTTTTGTTTTCTAATTCATCCTTCAATTTCTTTCGTCTAAAACTTTATTTTTCGTAGTATAAACCACTTTAATATTAATCAATAAACATTGATGCAATAATATGATACAATGATAGCGCATTGTATTTAGAAATATCAAAAAAGATCGCTAGTATGTAACTTAAAAACTGTGTATTTGACATTTTCATTAAAGAAAAATTAATTTTAAATTAATTGATAAAATCCTAAGAAAAGATATAACTTAATGTCACAACTACAAAAGTATTTTATATATATAAAGTATATATACAATTAATATACAGGATAACATCACGCACTTTAATTACATAGCACAATTTTTTTTTAAATATAAGTAAAAAAATTCCAGATAATTTTTTTATTCAATCATCATCATTAATTTATTTTAGTGAAGTAGGAATTACTAAGCAAAGTCTAATTCAGCTTAAAGAGCAACATTGATCGGATTTTACTTAACGACTTCTATTACGTTGAATACGTAATGTAACGTTCTATTACATTATAAAAAAATAAACTACATTTTTTTTACTCAACAAAGAGTAGCGTTCTATAATTAGTAATTTTATTTATTTTGTATATCATAAAATACTACGCAATTATATGTTGTGAAATATATAGGGTGTCCAGGATTTTTTGGAAATGAAAAATTGTGAAGATTAATCAGATCAAATCGCGTCAAAGTCAAGTACCATTTTACAAAAATCGCAATAGTTATAAAGTTATTAATGATTGAAAATGGCCACATCTAAAGACTCTTTTAATTGAAAATACTTCAAAATTTGTATATTTACTGCAAAATGATACAGGACCTTTTTATTCAGAATAATCTAATCTACAATTACATGACGGCTATTGTGCCGAGCGATAGATTCAAGAATCAGGATTCTAAATTCAATATACTCATATCCATCGCTAGATATAATAGTTGTCATATAATTGTAGATTAGGTCATTTTGAACAAAAAGTCCTTTACCATTTTGCAAATAAGTATGCAAATTTTCAAGTTATCAATTAAAACAGCCTCCAGATGTGCAGGTTATTTTCAATCATTAATAATAATAACTATTGCGATTTTTACAAAATAATACATGATTTTCTTTTCTCAGTTCGATCTGATTAATCTTTATAATTTTTCGTTTCCAAAAGATTCCGGACACCCTGTAAACAGGATGTCCTCAGAACAAATTTTACGGAACTCATGGAGACATAGACCGGATTAAAACAAACATAAAAGTCCTATCGTTTTGTGATATTCGCAATAGTTACCGAATTATTAATTATAGAAATCTGACGAGTGAGCGTGCGCCAAAATGATTTAAATAATAAATGATAAGTAATAAACAATCCATTCATCGACAGCCCTCAAAATCAACTGATACTCTGCATATTATACTTTGTATATTACTTTGCATATTACTACTGATAATACATTAATGACGTATTATCATCAGTTTACACTGTAGCTAATTAGTAATACAGAAATCCTTTATTTGCTTTATCGATTTTTCATAATATTCCTTGTCTTTTTCCGGATTTAAATTATACATATCTTTTAAATTACTGTTTATCATTTTATTAAAACGCACCCTTATGTACGACGACTTCATGACATAACGTAATACAAATCTGAAAATAAAAGAAACGATGAAAATATGGATTAGAAAACAAGTCTACAGATTATGTGAACGTAAATGAAACTGATAATAGTGATAATTAAGTAAGTGACAATACTCACTTCCAGGCAAAATAAGCTATCCACTCTGAATAACTAAGAGACGCATACAGATATGACATATTTACTCCGAGTATATCCATATCGAGTAATAATGCGCTTCTGTACGGCATGTACATCATAGGGAAATAATTAAATGATTGAACCATACATCTCGTTATATGCTCCCATTCGGGTGTCGCGTATTTGAGATAAGGTATTATCCAATATTCACTCAAATCTTGAATAAGTTGTCGTGTCTCCTTAAGACTACCACGACATAAATTGTATCTAGTAAATTACGTAATCGTAAGCATTAATCTTTTAATTACAAACTGTACTTATAGATACTTGACGAAAATGTCGATTGTGAAATCTCTTTATACATTAAATACTTTATATTAGACATTTGTATATTTATATATTATTATATTATATTATATATATTATATTATATATATTATTATATTATATTATATATTATTATATTATATATTATATTGTTATTATAAATCCAAAATATTCAATAGAAAAATTATTTGGCTAATTTGATATAATCTATAATAAATAATACAATATATAACAGTGCTGTGTATACGCAGCTGCGATCTTTTGCTGATGCAAACTTGGCATCGTACGATCGTAAACAGGAAAAGATCATGCGTAATTGTTTATACGAACTTTGGGATGGATTAATAATGCAATTTCACGGAAATAGACAGATAAAAGTTGTTTGGTTTCAAGGGGAACATAAAACAGCGATACCATTTTGTTTACTTATCATTTTTAAAAAATAGAAACCCAATTTTTTATTATATCATATTTTTCTATCAATTAATTTGAACAACTTTTGCCTGAAATATTTTTTTATTTACCCAATATTTTTTGAGATATTTAAGGAAAATTTGGTAACTTTTTAACAATATTTAGCTTACGATATCTCTGTAATTATTTGTCGCAAGAAAAAGTGGTACTAGCATTTTTACTCTATTTGGTCTCACGAATATGCTGTTATGAGGACTTAACAACTTTTGTTTAAAACAGTTTGTTATTTGCCTAATATTTTTTGAGATATTTAAGGAAAACTTGATAGTGTTTTTACTCTACTTGATTTTAAGAATATATTGTTACAATAGTGTCCTAACTTTTGTTAACATGATGATTTTGAAATTTCCAAAGCTTATCAAATTAACAAAAGTTAGGGCTGTTAGTGCCCTATTAGAACACTAGTTAGAACACTATTGTAACAATATATTCTTAAAACCAAGTAGAGTAAAAAACTATCAAGTTTTCCTTAAATATCTCAAAAAATATTAGGCAAATAATAAACTGTTTCAAACAAAAGTTGGTCAAATTAATTGGAAGAAAAATATGGTATAATAAAAAATTGAGGTTTCCATTTAAGAAAAATGAGGATTAGTAAACATCTCCGAAGTAGTGCCACTTGTAAACAAAATGATATCACTGTTTTATATTCCCTTTAACCCAATAATCCAACCCAATAACTTTTATCTGAAATGTTTTCTCGTACCCCTTTATTTTTCGAGATATTTCAGTGGATAAATTAAAGTAAAACACGCTGTGTAACATTTGATAGCGATTTATGGAATATCCCCGCTCGCGTTTTACATTTTATCAATATACGTACTCGTCTTCTATCCCGAGCAAATATCCGTAGCATCTCCACATGTGACAAAAGCCCTCTAGTTCTTCTTCGGTCGCGTCATGCGCCCCGTATTTATGGGGATGAAGTACGACCATGCCCATCAAAGCGTACTGTAGCATCACAAGATCCGCGTGATTTAAGGGTTTTGGCCTGTATGGCGAATTAGTGAACAGTTTAAAAAGAAGCTGCTCGAGTTTTTCTAACGAACATGCCGCGGTGAAGTCCTTCAGAAGCAATTCGCGATCCGGGCACCATGGATTCGCGAAAGTACACAGGGCGTCATACGTGTCTTCACTGAGCTGAGATGCTTTCGTTCTCACTATCTGATGTATCTTACGTGTGAATTGCATATCCTTGTAAGCGCATGTTTCTTTGACCCAAGGTTCGCCGTTGTACCAGCTTTCCACTCGAGACTGGGCCGACAAGAACCTCTCGGGTAACATAGAAGTTCACATTAGGTTTCGTCGTGACATCGCAAGAAAAAACTGTTAATTAATAAATTTATCTTTCCATAGAACATGATAATAAAGCTTACGGAAATTGCAAAATTATACGAAAGGTTGTTAATGAAAAGTCCTGTTGAAACTCTTCAGTGTTGAACTCTTTATAAGTGGATGTATTACTTTTATGAACAACATTCGTTTTTTTTTTAACGCTACGATTCACTTGAGACGCGTTTATACTATAGTCACTAGAATATTCGGCACAGAGAGGAATTTGCATATTGCGTAAAATTATTGCGTGATACCTTTTGAACGCTAAATATGGCGTGTGACTCTTCGCACCTAGGATAAGAGGCTTTAATTCATCACCGAAGGAATATGTGTGCAGTACTGAAAGAAACGTTCCCATGATAATGGGAGTATAATAATCATGCACGAATTTTTGCCCCTTATGATACTTTTCCACGTCTAGCCATATCGGTACATCTATCTGTGAACGACCACATTCATCTTGGCGAAAGAAAGCAGGAATTAAGTGTAGCAAAGATTCTGGCACATTGGGATAGAACTTTCGGAGATTCTTATTGACCCAGTCATATTGCTGACTCAAGGTCCAATTGTCGAAGTCCTTTGTAAATAACTTGCCGTTTAATGTATGTTTTAACGCCATCACGTATTCATATTTACACTTTTGCATATCTTCTATCTGCATTTTTTCTCCGTCATGCAAGTGGTTCTCCTTGACATTCGACATCTTAAATGTGCAAAGTGCGTTAAATTGTGGAAAATTTAAGATCACTAGCAATTTTGGCTGGGTATAGTAGACTGAAACAGTATAATATATTTCAAAGTAACTCACTAAACCTGCGATTATACGTTAGAAATGTCCGTGCAGCGGAGTCTGTATACTCTCAATGAGTTCAAGTAACTATCAAACATAACTATCGAGTTTGCTTTTATACTAATCAACTTAAAGAAAGCAATAAATTTAAAGAACGCTTTAAAGAACTATTTTTTACTTGATATCTTACATCAGTACATTTATCACATATTACCTTATATAGGGTGTTTCCACTTCAAATGCCGCAGATAAATGTCTCGAAAAATATGAAAGATACGGAAAAATGTTTCAGACAAGAAGTGTATAGTTATATAGTTTCAAAAGAGACATAAAATAACTATATCAGTTTGTTTATAGATGGTGCCACTTTCGAAATATTTATTGATCATTACTTTTCTTAAATGGAACTTTTTATCATATCATCTTTTTCTACCAATTAATTTTAACAATTTTTGTCTGAAACATTTTTCTATTTGCGATATTTTTTGAGATATTTAAGAAAAACTTGGTAATTTTTTCAATATTTAAATTACAATATTTCGCTATTTGTCGAAGAAAAAAATAGACTTTTTTACTCTATTTGGTCTCAAGAAATATATTGTTACAATAGTGCCCTGACTTTTGTTAATTTATCGACTTTTGGAAATTTCAAAATCATCAAATTAACAAAAAGCCAAGACGCTATTGTAACAATATATTCTTGAAATTAAGTAGAGTAAAAAAGTCAAGTATCACTTTTTTTTCCGACAAATATTTAGCGTGATATCGTAAGTTAAATATTGAAAAAATTACCAAGGTTTCTTTAAATATCTCAAAAAATATTAGGCAAATAAAAAATGTTTCAAACAAAAATTGTAAAAATTATTATAATTGGTAGAGAAAGATGATATAATAAAAAATTGGGGTTTCCATCTAAGAAAAGTTTCCATCTAAGAAAAGATAATCAATGAATATCTCGAAAGTGCTGCCATTTGTAAACAAAATGATATAGTTATTTTATGTCTTCCTTGAAACTATACAATTTTTTTTGAAACATTTTTCCGTATCTTCTATATTTTTCGAGATTTTGCATGCATTTGAAATGAGACACCCTGTATAAGACCTCATATTTATCGTATATGTTGTGTATATTTTTCATGATATGTTATCAATATATGTTTTCGTAATATGTTATTAAGAGGTACACGTGCCTATATTACGCGAAACTGCGAGTTGAAACGAGATATTCATATCTCAGCAATGACTGAAGCGTTCAAGGTTTTCTTACAAGGGACATTCGGCAACGCGGAAATTCAAAAAAATCTGAAACTCTGCATAATTGTAGAGCAGATATACCTAATAACAAAACAATTTTTCGTTGGTGCCCAAAAACGGTTTTAAGGGTGGAAACAACCCCTTGAACAAAGTTGATTTTTGTCTTTCTAAGCGAATATTATCGAAACTATTAAAGATATGAAAAAATGTTTTAGACAAAAGTTTTATGGTTTTAAAAGTACTTTATTATGCTATATTTAGATTTTTTAAAAATGTAAAATTGTGTATAAAATACCCCCCCCTTCTCTTTTTTCAAATTGTTAAAATCAATTGTCCAACCAAAATAAAGCTTATTTTATGACAAATTCAACCATATATAATAACATTATGTTTGGAAAAGGCAATATTGAAAAAAAAATTAAACATGCTCTTATATGTATGCTACGCGTACCAAACTTAAGGATTCGCTACTTGATGATGGCATTTCTTTCTTCCTCAAATCTTCCTCATAATTGCAAACTGTAAAAGATAAGGAAGGAAGAAAATAGAAAATCTAAAAAAGCAATAAAGTTGATGTTAAGAAGTAAGTAGGAGAAAAATAGCATGATAAGGATACAGTCACTAATATTTAAAAATGTTATAAATTATAAAATTTCACGTAATAGACGTTTATTTTGCCAACATTGCGGCTACCTTTTTCATTAATTTAAACGACACGCGTAAATATAAATAAATATGTGTGTGTGTGTGTATGTGTGTTTTTGTACGTGCGCACGTGTGTGTACATCATGGCAACATGCAAAACACTTGTCACAAGTTTTATGACTGTGCGACCAAAATAGCACTCTTTATCAAGTACAGTGCAATCAAGGTTCATTATATTGACATATGTTATCTTCATTCATTTGCATATAAAAGCTGTCCATTTTGGAATACATTTCAGTGTTATTGAAGCAGTTATTGAAGCAGTACGTATATTATTATTGCTGTGAGAAATGTTTAATTAAAATATCCTTAAGATTTGTATCATAATGTCAGTAATAAATCCAGCTAATGTTATTAATTTGTTAATTGCGACATTTCATTTCACAAATATTGCAATAACTCCTGTTAATCATCAAGAGGTGGAACTCCATGATACAATTACTGATTTAATAAAGAGTGCTATACATCACGATATTACGATCGAACATGAGTGGGGACTTGATTTTGACGATCCATCAGAACCGCATGACGTACAATTTGTAGATGTGTACGATATTGATGCTGAAGAAGATAATTATGGAAATGAAGTTTGCACTGTGGATGATGAAGGTGGAAATGTAAACTTAAATTATAAGAAAAAGGCAATCGAATTTTGGAAGAGTGGAAAGAAAGGACATTTATCTCTTACTTCTGTACAACATCGTTTTAGAAAAGTAAAGTTTAATTAAAAAATAAGAAGAATAATATATAGTAAAATACTTGAGGCTTTTACGGTGTACAGTGACCGGCAGTGATTCGTTCCGCGACAGAGAGAACTCTATTTCCCCTCTCGCGGAACGCATCATTGTCGGTCATTGTACATACAGCTTTGACTATAAGTATAAAGCATCCCAAAAAATTTATTTAAATTGTGTAACAAAAACATACTATATGAATATATGGAGAACATAATATAGTATACGAGTATATGGAAAAATAATATAATAAAAAAATATAATATAAGAATATGTGGAAAATAATATTTATTTTACAATATTTATTGTAATATAATATAATATATACTTATTCTCTCTTAGACTATTTTCTGCCAAGCTGTCTTTTCTCTACTATTAGTTATTATTACTAGTAGTTATTATTACTATATTATTATAACATCAATATAGTCTGAAATTATTACACTTAATGATGTTTGTACGCCCATTAGTCTTTTGGTTTCGATTTATGCATAGGAACAATTAAAATCACTTGATATTAAATAAATTCCTATATATTGATAATTGTGTATAAAAAGAAAAACCTATATGATTAAAAAACAAATATAATGAGGGGAATATTATTACCTGTGCGGAAAAAATTAAACAATATAAAAGCAATATAAAAAACTTGATAGATGAACACATTAAATGTACTACATCTATTGGATTACAATATTATAATGTAACTTTGTATTACAGTTCAGGGAATATTGATATTCAATTTTGCTACGTAAACTTCGCATACATTATTTTGTGTAGATTAGAATTAATCAGGATTTGATGTATTGAATTGATATAAGGATAACAAAATAACAATATCTAAAATACAAAGATTGTATTAAGATGCATACAAATCAAAATAATAATTAATATATAAAATGTGTATCACGGTTTAATAGAAAAATCCAGTGAATGCAATGACGCGCTGCCGTGCCGTCGGAATAAAAATATGAATATATACTAAGCAAACGCTATAACTAATCTATGCATGGTTTTTTTCGTAGTGTAGTTTCATCCCCTCAGACTGGAATTCCACACGAATAAAAAATAGTTTTGCATTACGGATGAACTACTTTACTTCCACACAAAGTTCCAGAAGTTTTAAGATTTTCGAGTTCCCTATGTTCCCTTGTTAGTATCTTTCATATTTTTCGAGATTTTTGCCTGACTGATTAAAAATAGGACACTCTGTATACCTAAAATTGTATCCAAATATCTATGTAGAAATAATAGATGTCCAGCTGTAACATCAGTTTATGATGGAAACTGCCGCGTAGGAAAAGTTTACGGCACATCACTGATTATAAGTTGTTTTGATTTTTCTTGCAGCTGCAATAATTTCTCCGGCTTCAAATTTGACGCTCTTTCAAGTACTTTATGCATTAATTGATTGGCCATTTTTCTCACAATGGAGAATTTTAATGATGGAACAAAAATCTAAAATCAAAATAACAAAGTGAATTATAAGTAAATCAAAGTAAATTATAAAATATGTGAAATGGAGGCGCTATTTTATTTATATACATTGAATAAGTATTCATATCAGTGAATTAGTACTGCATTAAAATATATTTATCTAGTTAAAACATATCATTGAAATAATCAATTATAGCAATAATCAATATATATATCAATATTAAATGCATGTAAAATATATACTCACGTGTATATTTTATACATTATCCATTCGCTATAATTAAGTGATGCATACAAATTGAGCATTTTAAGATTTAATGCTTCTGTATACAGTATTATTATTGTCTTATAAGGCATATAGAGCCAAGGATAATAATTCATAGATTCGGCAAGACACCTGCTCATATGCATCCATTCGGATGTGATGTCCGTAAAATTAGCCGTTATCCAATTTCTAAAATCCCGTATGCGCTGTTTTATCTCCTTCCAGTTGCCATAACAAAAGTTGTACCTAGTGGATTATATATGACATAATATATTATGTTTAAAGACTGAACAGCAGCTAAAGCACTGTCCGTAATTGAGTTTTAATCATGGATGGGAATAGACTGACAATCGATTAATAGCGTATTCGCATGTCATATTAAGAAGTCTACTTTTAATAACCAAATTTTATGTTAGACATGTTCGTACTGTAAATTGGACATATGGTGAATGGAGTAGGTTGGCTTATATTTAACTGCCGAAAAATTTATTCGCCATCATGCATGCTTTATCATTTACCAAATGGAAAATAGCTAATAGTACCTTTTTCTTAGATACAAGTTTCTCATAATTAATGATTAAATATTGTTATTGTTGAAATATCTAAATCAGTTTTAATATACTAGATTCTATTTGGTTTGAAGAATATATTGTTATAATAGCGCTCCGATTTTTGTTAATTTGATGATTTTGAAATTTCCAAAAGTCAGTAAGTTAATAAAAGTCCGGGCGCTATTGTAACAATATATTCTTGAGACTAAATAAAGCAAAAAAGTCTAGTACCACTTTTTCTTCCGACAAATAGTTAACAAGATATCGTAAGTTAAATATTGGAAAAGTGATAAAGTTTTCCTCAAATATCTAAAAAAATATTAGACAAATAAAGAAATGTTTTAGACAAAAGTTGTTTAAATTAACTAGTAGAAAAAAAACAGTGTAATAAAAAATATGGGTTCCCATTTAAAAAACGCAAAGTTGACTTTCAAATGACCTCGAAAATAGAGGTCAAGGTCATCATAAGATAGCACACTTAAATTTCTATAACTTTTATTGAGATCATTTTCCTTGAAACTTCAATACTGAAGAGTTATTAGGGTGGTCCGTTACTTTTGGGACAACCTGTATGATACACAAAATATGATTTATTGATTCAATAATCTGTAAGATAAATATATACCTTACCACCAATGTTGAATATAACAGAGCATTGTCATAATCCTAAAGGAATCAAATTATGTTAAATAAAAAGAATAGAAATCACTACGGAGGCCGTGCGGACTTTGAGCATAGCAACATTTATGTGCAAATAAAGCTCATCTATCCGAACATGAAACATTCTGTTTAACTAAAACAGCAAAAATATACTTTATTCATTACAAAACAATTTTAAACGATAAAATATTTTTCGTAGGTTGCAATGGAAACAAAAACACAGGAGGCCTTGTTTTTATCATTTTTACACAATCAATTATAAAAATCAATTGTCTGCAAAATTTCCAAAATAAATTTTGTTCAATTCTTAAGTCCTATAGCTAGTCTAACATTCATCGGCGAACTACAAATAATACTATTACATACTCATCTTGCAGTCCAAGAAAATATCCGTAACACTTCCATATATGGCAGTAACCCTCTAGATCTTCGTCAGTTGCATTATGTATTCCAATACTCTGTGAATATATTATAGGCACAACCAGCAGGCAACCTTGTGTACTTGACACCGCCCAATTATTTATAGCTTTTGTTGTGAATGCGGACGTATCCAAAAATTTATAAGGGCAAATTTATTCTGGATTCTCGAACGGACATGTCGCAGTGATATCCTTCAGAAACAATTTCTGCTCGGAACACAATGGATTCGTGATCTTTGATGCGGCGTTTACTTGCTCCTTAGTTATTCGGGACTTCTTTGTGTTTATATCCGCGTGTTTTGCACGTGTAACTTGCATATCTGTATAAGCTTTCGTTCCTTTGACCCAAGGTTCTCCATCGTACCATGTAACCATTTGCAAAATAGTACTAAGATACCTACAGCAATTTGTTAATTAGATTTTTAGAGCTTATATACTTACATCACGGAAAAATTTTCCTTATAATTCTAAGATCTTTCAGTCCTTATCAAACTATTGCAATTGCTGTAGGAAGTAGCATGTTGCAATTGCTGTATGAACAAAATTTGTGAACAAAATCGGACCGCTACATGTTTTGAATTCTTAAGAGCTAATTCCTTTCGCATATTTTGTTCTTTTCAGTGATATTCTATTCTGAAACTTATAAATTAGGAGACCATGTCTTTTAATTAATTTAAAAACAAGTACCTTATAAACGATAAATATGGCGTGTTACTGTTTCTCGTTAGAATGAGTGTTTTTAAACCATCATCGAAGGTGAAGCCGTAAATAGCACCCATTACAATGTTGATAATAATGGAAAAGTAATTGTCACGCACAAACTTTTGCCCTCTCCGATATTTATCCATGTCCATCCATTCTGGCAACTTCTCCTGTGATCGATCGAAGTCGACTGGGCGGAAAATAGCTGGGATCATATTCTGCAAACTGTCCGGCATATTTTGATACAGTTCCGTCAAATTATTATACACCCAGTCACGTTGCTTTTGCGCGCTCCAAACATCGAAATCATTCGGAAATTTAATATTTTCTAATATGTCTTCTGTTTTCTTTAAATATTTATCATTACTGATGTCTTTTATATGACTAAAGTCTCTGGATGGATCACTAATGATGGATGCATTCGCCATATTTTCACTGAAATCGATCGAGTTTATGCTTAAGCTCTTGATCGATAGTTTCTTCTTCCACTAAATTCCACCGAATACTCGCGTAGAATAATCTTCTGCTCCCATTAATATACATTTGTAGCGTTAATCAACTTAAGATGTTGCATACATTACGAAAGCTTATACACTTTATGAGCGTTATTTAAAGTCATATAATCTAAAGTTATACTCACTGCTAGAGATAAAATTCGTATTATGACATCAATATAGATAAGAACAATTATCTATTCATGTACAGTCTGTTTGATAAAAGCGTGCTCGGCAAAACTTTTGCATAGAAATCGTTAGACAGGAAATTCTAACAGAGATTAGTAGTAGGAACATTTTTCCCAAGATGCTTTTCCTAAGAGAAAGTTTCAATTGTTGTTCGACCTTCGTGACAAAGAGACACATATCATCATGAGTGCCGCCTACGCAGCGCAACTCGAAGCCGTGTTTCTCTATACTTATCCGAAATAACTAAAAATGTCGTGCCAAGCGACTGTTAAATATATGAAAAAATCTAAGGCATTTGTAAATGAATGGATAAATTACTACCTAGGAGTGAAAAACGTCGATACCGAAGTGTGGTTCTATACAGAAAACAATGGATAAAGAAGACAAATTATTCTACAGATGTTCGCAAACAACATTCATCTATCGTTGCAAGATGGAGAAGCAGCATTGAAGAGAAAAAGGTTTAAATATATCACGTGACGCAATAAGACGTCTACGTGCTCATAATGTGAAATATCGAAGCACAGTGAAGAAACTAATTATCCGAGAAACACATTAAGAAAAGAGTTGTTTGGGCACAGAAAAATATGGACCACGATGATCCATATAAATGGCTTTATTGCCATCTGTCTAGTAGTATACAAAAAAAGAATTATAATAGTACAAAAGGATAATAACCCTAAAAGTCGGATCGTTCGATGATGGTAATTTCTAAACACTGATATAACGAATTTGCATAATGCAATGGAATTTTGGTTAAGGTCTCTATTTTTTACCAGTAATCGGTTTCTTTTTTTAATAACCTTCGAAGTTTTCTTTGTACTGCATGAAAACTAAGAAAGAAAATCAATGAGTTGAAAATGAGCTGTCACGGACACCAGATGCAAATCCCATTGAAAATATTTGGTCTTGGATAAAGATTAAGCTTCAGGGAAAGAAAATTTGGAAGATTAAGGAGTTCGACAATTAATTATAGTTCGACAATAGTTCGACAAATTAAATTAATCTGGAGATCTTAACTTCAAGAATATGCCATAAAATAAGTTAAAAGCTGTTATGCAATTATTAATAATGTACAAGTTATTAATAATGAAGCATTACAATTCTGGTCCAATAATATGTATATATTTTGTTCCAAGTCATTAAAATAAATTATCTATCAATTTCTGCCGGACATGCTTTCATCAAACAGACTGCAAATATATTCAACTACATATGTAATTAGAAATAAACCAATGTATATGAATACGACAATAATATGCCAGCCAATCATATGCTAGCGAATTGTAAACAAACAGAAAATAAAAGCAAGACTGCCTCGTAACTACGTCTACTGTGTCCTCGAGTGCGTTCCAATTGCAATCAAAAGTTAAAATAACATTCATTTTTATAACCTAATGTCAAATTGCATACAGCATAGAACAGATTTGTCATCAGCAATGTAACGACAGATTAATGCAACAAAGCGAGAGCAGTTTCGTCAATCGCAGGCCGATAATAGATTGCGTCAAATATCTAGCCGATCCGTCTGCATAAATTAAACGATAGACGACGAACACAGCGCCGATCTGCATACAAAAACTATGACAGATTGATGATATGACTGTCAAATTTAGAATCTGTATTCACAGTCACGATTTTATCTGAAAATCAGTTTGAACTATAGACAGACATTAACCGGCTTTCACTGAAATATTAAGAGGTCGCATTGAAAGCCGCTGTTTTTTTGTGTTTTCTGAGCATTTATTTCAGTAACAAAATGTGTAAATACATCAATCAAAGTATTTGCCCTCAGAAGCTATTTCTCCCACTTTTCTGGCAGAAATTGAATATCGCGACGAAAGAACGGTCTATCTTTTGAGCCAATTCATTTAGCAACTCAATTTTTGACTTCTGCGTAATTATGGATATGTGTGTCTTCCAAAGCATGTTGTATCGACCGGAACAGATGGTAATCGTTTGGGGCCAGGTCCGGAGAATACGTTGAGTGCGGGAGAATCTCCCATTCGAGCTCCATCAATATTTATTTCACGACTATAGTAACATGGGGTCGAGCGTCATGGAGAAGAATCACTTTTTGGCGATTTGATGTAATTGATAATCGTTTTTGCATCAAATTATTCAAACGCTCTAATTGTTCAATAATGTTCAACGGTGACTATTTCGTTCGGTTTCAACGGCTCATAATACACCCTTCATATCTCACCAAATAAAAAGCATTGCTTTGTGACTGTAGATGTTTCGCTTTGGTGTCGACGTTGATGATTGGCCAGGATCAATCCGTAATTTCTTCCGCTTCAGATTGTCGAAATAGATCCATCGCCGGTCACGATACGCCACAAGAAACTCTTCTTTTTATGCTTTGCGAGCAAAGAAATCGAGATGATTAAACGATTAGCAATGGCATTTTCGGTCAATTCACATGACAGCCATCTCCCTTCTTTCTGAACCTTTCCCATGGCTTGTAAACGTCATGAAATGGTTGATTTATCGACTTCGAGCTGCTGAACTAATTCCTTGAGTGTTTAAGCAGGGTTTTCTTCCAATAGAACTTGCAGTTGTTCATCTTCGAACTTTTTCGATTGACCTGGCCGTTGTTTGTTGTGAACGTCACAATCACTATTCTTAAATCGTCGAAATCTCTATAATCTCTACAAACTGTTTCCGATGGAGCAGATTCACCATAAATTTTCGCAATCGATGAGCTTTAACTACATTTTTTTAAGTCAAAATAGTGTAGAAATATACACATGTACATTGGAGAAACAATTTATCGCAATCCATTTTTTAATTCGTTATAGAAAATTCTGATTCCGCATAGAAAAGCACTTGTGTAAACAAAGAATGGCGTTTGATGATTGAATTTTAGTGAGAAATGTTCACTTTTCAAAATAACATAAAAGATGTGAAAGAAATCTGTTACTGGCCGCAACGTACGCAACTAGAGCCATCTACACGTGAACAGCGGATTTCAATGCAACCTTCTAACATATATAGAATATTACGGGCAACATGTAGTGTCGTTAACCTTTAGAGGACCGGCATTTTTCCTTTAAAATTTGCAATTTTTTTCGCAGAAAATTTATATATATATAATCATCATGTCGCGTAGAGTTTTCGAGTTTGTTATTGGCTCCTATAAAAGCTATCCGGATCCTCTAAAGGTTAATTAAAATGAGAAACAGCGCACTGCTCTTCAGTGTATAAAAATAGTGGAGTAAAATCATCGGAAACTGAATATTTCTCGAGATACATTATATTATAATTATATCTCTCCTGATACTTTTTAGTATATAATGAAGTAATATTTCGAAACGATAATAAAGAAATATTTCGTAAACGATTCGCTAGTTGGCAACATTAGCTTCATAGTTTTATACGTAAAATAACAAGAGAAGTCGATTACTAGTAAGAAAATAGAGAGATCTTAACCAAAATTCCATTGCATTGTGCAGATTCGTTGATGCACCAGTGTTTAGAGACTATTATCACCGAACGATTCCTCTCGTCATTTTGTTCCATTTACTAGAATCGCGATTGCATATACTACATGGGCTGAAAAGTCTTTGGCTTAACAATGAAAAAACGATTTTTTTAATGAAAAAAGTGTTTTATTCCTCGACATAATCTCCATTTAGAATAATGCACTTAGTGTAACGGTCCGCTAACATTTCGATGCCGGTCTTATAGTGCTCGGTGTCAAGTCCCTCAAAATAGGCATTTGTTTCCAACTTGACCTCCTCATTCGAGTAAAATCTTTTACCAGCGAGCCACTGCTTCAGTCAGGGAAAAAGGAAATAGTCGCTGGAGGCCAGGTCTGGAGAATACGGGGGATGCGGGACCAATTCATAGCGCAATTTCTTTAATTTATCGGTCGTATCGCGAGCCGAGTGAGCTGGAGCATTGTCTTGGTGAAACAAAATTTTTTTCTTTGCCAAATGTGGCCGTTTGACCTTGACCTCGTCGTCCAATCGATCCAGTAATGTACAGTAATATTCTTTATTGATAGTTTTACCATGTTCGAGATAATCAATGAATATTATGTTATGCGCATCCCAAAAAATACTGGCCAAAACCTTGCCGGCTGATTGTTGTGTCTTCGGGCGCTTCGGACGGCTTTCACCAGGCAATAACCACTCCGCTGACTGCCGATTGGACTCCGGTGTGTAGTGATGGATCCATGTTTCATCCATTGTGACAAATCGATGCAAAAACTCCTTCTTATTGCGGTTAAACAGGGCCAGATTTTGCTTTGAAAGTCGAACACGTTCCGCTTTTTGCTCAATTGTCAAAAAACGCGGCACCCAACGCGCGCAAAGCTTTTTCATGTGTAAATATTCATGAATGATATGACCAACGCGTTCCTTTGAGATGCCTATAATGTTAGCTAGCTCACTCAATTTCATTTTGCGGTCATTCAACACGATTTCACTGATTTTCTGGATGTTTTCTGGAGTAACTGCCTCATTTGGCCTTCCTGAACGTGGTGCATCATTTGTGCTCGTACGGTTACGACGAAACTCAGCAAACCAATATTTGATGGTTGAATTCGGTGGGGCAGATGTGCCGTAACATTTATCAAGCCATGCCTTTGCTTCAACAGTGTTTTTTCCCATCAGGAAGCAATGTTTAATCAAAACACGAAATTCACTTTTTTCCATAGTAAAGATAAATTCAGAGGTAACGTCACTTCGAAAGCTATAACTTGTACACGAGTCAACGAAATATGAAATTTTTACAGCATCTAAGTTAAGGTTGGTACTCTATAGGAAATATAAGGATTTTTAGTTTGTGGCGCCATCTATATGTCAGGCCAAAGACTTTTCAGCCCATGTAGTATACGATGTATCACCTTCGAATAAAAATATGCAGTTGTGAGAAAAACTTTGCTCCTCTTTTTTATTACTAGTTCTTCATTCTCTATCAGGATTTTTCCTATCAAACTGCCTTCTCCCTACTAACGTCAATGATGTATAAAGATATGAAATCAAAGTTGCGAATAATTTGTTACATATTTAATCTATCATTTGTGGTGCATATGTGAAAAAAGAAAGGCAGAAAGCTTGACAGGAATGTCTATTAAAACAAGAAACTAGAACAGTCGTAGAGCAGGAAAAGAAAAGTAGTGCCTATGACAGTAACTACATAATTTTATTTGAAAGTGACGTATCATATATGTAATTGCTATATTCCTACATGTCTCTTACGGTATGTCAATTATATTATTCTTTTCTTATCTTAACGCTTTACACATTGATGTCAAATCTTGCTACGAAAATCTGGTTTATATAATTATGTTCAAGTTAATGAAGATTAATCAGAAGTTGAAATAAGAATAACAAAATATCAACATCTAAACTAGAAAATTAAGTATTAAACGAAGATTGTATTAAACGAGATATATAGGGTAATACATAAAATGCAAATCAAACGTAATATATAATACATATATCATAAAATATAGTGGAAAAATCCAGTAAATATTGCTATAAGAATTACTAGAATCGCTTTTAAGCATCTTATTAGCATTCGACAAATTTTACAGAATGGAACATTCGATTCTATTCTTTTTCTCAATTTTTCGATAAGACTATTATAGTATAGTTATGTCTCATTACATCTCATTAAGTACTTGTGCACTGCACAATAACTGTCTATTCGTCGAGAAACTATATTTACTCGTATCACAATTCTACGTATATCTCGTATATACGATGCATCTTCGGATAAAATATGCAGTTACGTCCACAGACTTTGCTTCTCTTTTTTACTACTTTTTTACTACTTCCTTCATTTTCTATCAGGCTTTTTCCTATCAAGTTACCTTGTCCTCATTATAGTCGATACACTCTGGACTTGTTGTATACTTTATGATGTTGTAACACTTTATGATGTTTATGTGCCAATCGTATTGGAATACAATTGTGTTTATTATTTTCTCTTTTCTTTCTTATCGTCTATAGACGATCCAATCGCTTTGCTTTCATTGTATTATAATCAATATGACGATATGATGCATTATGACATTAAGCACGATAATACGC